AATTCACAATTCAATTTTTGGAGGCCATTTTGGAGGCCAATCCTTTTAAGAACCCAATCAAAGTAATCGATCTTTCCCAATTCAGTTCTGATCATGAATTCCGCAAGGTAGCTTTCCAAATGATGACGTGATATACCGCGGTGCTTCTTATTCCGCCACTTTGCGCTTCCCCATAGCCGCTCGATAGTATGTGTGTGAATAGAAGGGTCTGTTGAATTAAGAAAGCTCTTCGACTTCTTCTTTGGGAAAAACCCCATTCGGATCAATGCTAACTTTTTTAAAATGCAGACGTATAATAGGGAATGATGCGTCTGGGGGTATACTTTTCTTAGCACCTTAAAGAGAGTAAGTAGAGAGTAAGTAGAGAAATTTAACATAATTATCAATGATTCTGCGTTGAATGATACCAAATACTTGATGGTTGGACGCTCCTAGACTCACTCATTCACAGTCGGCTGAAATTCATAATCGGCTACGTAGATCTCACCGATTTTGAATGAAACGTTGTAGTCCCCGCCGTTTTTAAAATAAACTCACAAAACTGGTACGAATCGACGCAGAATCTAATTAGCTACAAAATGATATAACATTGTCTTTATACATTAAAGGTACCAACTAGGAAGATTTACCAAAAAGAATTCATTCATAATCAGCTACGATAGATGCAAATTTTTCAGTGCTCAACGTGTACAAGGTCAAAAGCTCTCAATTAATATTATTCCAATGGATCACCAATAGAGTTATCCCGGCTGCCGGAATGCCAATTGTGAAAATAATCCCCGACACCAGAAACCAAAGCCATTTCCTCGATTCCGGATTGTTTTTTCGGGTTTTGTACGCGAAATAGAGCAGGAAGAGGTCTAGAAACAAAGAGTTCTTATTTTACTACATTAAATTGCAAATATCTATTGATTTTATTCAATATAAAAGATTACAGTAATAATACCAGTAATAGTATTGTTACACTATCCCATTTTCCTCAGCCTCAGGCTCCGAATTAGTGATTTTTAATAGGATTTAATGGCTTTTGATTCTTTGTTTTTCAGGTTTTTGCTTTTATAACTTTAATTTTTCTTTTTCTTAATTTAATTTTTGTTTTTATGAATGAGGCACCGAATTTTCCATGGCCGAATCGATCAGATCGCGAAATTCCAACTTTCCGATGAGACATTTCGTCGCCGATATCACTTTACATATCAAGGATTTCTCCGTCTTGTACAATTCATGAGCCCATTCTTGTGACAACGGTATTCGAGGACGCTTTCACTACGATTTCGAGTTGCTGTGACGCCTCGATATTTGGCGCGCAATTCGTTTCAATATCTCTTGATCTTGATCTCTTGGAATCTCTCAGCAGACCGTTTCACGACTTCTCCACGAAGCGATCGATATTCTCTTGATCGTCGTTCTCTTGATCGTTGTTCAGATTCTCAGCAAATTTCTGAAACACCCGTATTCAGACGGCGAGAAGGATTGATGTACAATGACATTCAGAAAGCTCTAATCCTACCTAGGACTAATTCCAGTCATTTCTAAAATAAACAAAGCTAGGTGAGATGTGAATGATAATATCCTCGCGTTCAGCATATTTCGAAAACTCACGCAAAAATAGCACTAAAACGACGAGGAGAATGAGGCCAGCTTTCCCATCTCCTCCACCACCACCAACACCCGAACAGGTGCAACCGCCACACTTAAATTGCATTGATAAGTTTAAAGTTGAACCTTGAAATCTAGCCGATTTTTCATTTCAACCTCTATCTTTGTCTAACTTTTTCTTTTCTAGAACTCACATTGCACCCTCCACTGCAACAACCGCCACCTCCACTGCAACGGGGACCGACTAGAATTTTGCTTTCATTTTTTGATTTAACCTTGATTTTGTCTGTGTTTAATATTTGACAACTTATTTGACTGTTTTACTTTGAGTTAACGAGTTTAAAACTCACAACAACATCATAAAAGACAATGCGTTTCTGTTTCCACCATCGAACATGTCGAATCGTGACGATAGCTGAAAAATGGAACAAATATTGAAAAAGTTTAGTTTGACATGAGTCAAATGATAGTTTTAAAGAGTTTTTAAAATTCCCACAAACCGTTTACTCTTATTCCTCCGAGAGGCCTCCAATTCGGCATCAACGGTTGAGCAAGTCGGCTGAGCGATCACGAAAATCGAAGCCGGCACAACAGTGGCACCTATCTGAAATGAATTGAATTTTCTAGAAATCAATCAACAATAGAATTTTATTAATTTAAAAAATTAAATCAAGGTTTAACTAGTGCAGGTGCAACACACGACTCATCGGCATATCGAAATTCTTCTTCCCTCTGATAAAAAAAAGATTTTCAATTCTCAAGAGTTGTGTACCATTAAATTTTGTTCCAAACGTCTAGACGAAACCAGTAGCCAGTCTTGACCGGGTTTTACGCGCCTTGGTCTATAAATTGTTGGCTTTACTGAAAGCCTGACTCACAAAAAATCCCTGGACTTCGCTTGGATTACTGAATTGTTTGGGTTTTTTTGAAAACCTTGCTTCTCACGAGCCTGATCAGGAAAATATGGAGGCGGGGGTTCATTTGGTGAAAGAAAATCGGATCGCGGATCGATTCCCATACCCGCCGGGGGCACTGGTGATTCGTTCTAAACTTTCTCGTAAACTATTCAATAACAAACGCTCTTTGCACAAGATTTATCGATCTTTTTCGACTGGATTCTGATTACCCAACCCTGGAACTCCTAGTAGCTTCGTTCATCAGTTTGTGCTCACGCTAAAATGCAAACACACTCTTTCTGTGCCACAGATTCAAGGGTTTCCCTCGTTTTCCAAGAAGAGAAAAAAAAATAAAGCAGTGCACCAGAAAGGGTGCGTTTGCAAGCCTTTTCGAGAGCACAAAGCACATCCCAGGGAATAGAAAGGTTATTGCTAAATTTGTACCCTCAACTGGATCAGTGGCCGATTGGTTTCTTGGCCAAAAATTCCGAATTTCATCCAACAAAACTTTCAAATAATATCAAAGTGAGCCAGAGAAAAATGTTAATAAGCAAGAAGATGAAAAAGTTGTCGCATAAAATAAAAGGTTTGCAAAACAGAAAGCAAAAGTAACGATTGCTTGTCGTAAGGCAAGGATGATTCGAAAGAAGTATCGCAAATTTTTTGATTCGACAAACAAACGAGACCACATAATTGTCCCATTGCCATCCAAAAGTTTCTTTCGTACGAAAATCTTGCAAAAAAACGATATTCCAAAAAAGTGTAGGGTTTTTTGCTTGCCCATAATACTCTACTTTTCAAGATTATAAGATTTATCCGTATACATTGCATAAAAATTAAAGTATAAAACAAAAACAATAAGTTACTTAACAAATAGCTCCACAAAGTATTGTCCCATTTGAAAAGAATTAACAATTTTTTCTCAAAAATTCAATCCTTGGTTGGTCCTCCCTTTGCTTTTATCGCTTCATTGAGTCGATCAGGCATGAAATTAAGGAGATTTTTCAAAAGACTTGGATGGTGGCCCAAAGACGTTGAACGTGAACGCATAAGGCGGCCTTCGAATCGAATTTCTTTCCCTTGAGGCGCGACTTCACAAATGATCACAAATGTTCAATTGGGTTGAGTGAGGAGGTGGATTGATCAATTGAACATGATTTGCCGCAAAACATCCCGGTAGACGAGCTCTGGTGCCGCTGTGAAGTGTCACCAATCGTCCCATTATCAGTCTCGACTTGTGTTTCGGGCCCGTTGTCCTGGTAAAGCATCCATCCGGGAGGCATCGCTTAATTGGCAAAGGGAAGCATTTGGGTCTCCATAATATTCTTGTAAGGCACAGCATCCATCGTGGATTTCACGTAGACTAACGGACCTACTGAAGTACGAGACATCGCACATCCGCAAAAAGGAAATTTTGGTGAGCGTCATATAGCAAACTTTATGCTCAAGGGTCTTGTGCACATTTTGACACCAAAACGAGATCAATTGGGTGAATCTGTGAAAAGTTGATGCCTTTTGAACGCTAAAGTAGCGTTATTCAACTTTCTGCGCGCTAAAGCGTGAGCAAACTACCGTAACCACTGAAAAAAAACAAAATTATAAAAGAAACAAATGTGTTTTTATTTTCTTTACTTCTGATCAAAATTTTGGCCTTTTTTTTATTGTTTACATAATTTTGTTTCCAACTAATGATTTGTATTTTACAGGTAGAGAAATGCTTCAAAATCAACAAGAAACGAAAAACGGGGAAAGAAACGATCAGAATGATTCAGTTTCCTCCCATTTCCCCGTTCCTTTTTTTGGCCAAAGTCGGCGTTCGTGATTTTTTTGGGCCAATTTTATATACCTTTTCAAGCTATTCAACTGTTTGACTGATTTGGTGGCAAACTCCCTTCAAATGTAAAGATATCCAATTTACTCGACGTGTAAAGAGGATTACTCGTAGTCACTCGACCAAAAACGTCGCTTAATCGAGTAAAAATTACTCATGCAAATTTTACTCAAGTAATTACTTACTCGCAAGGAACACACTCTAGTGGCGAGAAGGTAAGGCGTGTCCAGCTCCTGCCAAGCTTTCTGCAGGGCTTTGAAGCAGGAACTATCTTAGAGAGAAAAGGAATGGCTTTGGGCCTACTATGTTCAAACGTGTCGTGTACTTTTCAACATTCGATTGCTCATACGTTCCAAGTAACAAAACCCCGCTAACTATTTTGTTACACGAAACTCGAAAGAAGTTTACCGTTTCTTTTTATTTGTGAGCCAGTTTAAGCCATTTATCTTGCATGTGTGAATTGTGTAAAGAAAACGATCTACACAACTGAAAGCAATACAAACACACACACACAACAATCACACAAGGAAACTCTTGACAGAAACACGAAAAGTTTGTTGTTATCAGAATAATTTTTAGTAAATAAAAGCAGGTCAATGGCAAAATAAAGGTTAATAAAATGAACACTTTGGCATACATGAAAAAAAAAGTGGGAAATATTTGAAAGAAAATCACAAACGCTAAATCAGAATATACCTATGGATACGATGCATCAAAATCGATCAAGATGAGCTTTGTGTTTTCCTCGGATCTGTCTTGTGAACTAATTGCACATAAAAGAGATGTTTCGGTCGCGAAGACGCGCCAAAGCCATACGTCTGCCTGAAGACGAAGGAGGTCACGAACAAAGATACCTGAAAATCACAAAAATTCCCGTATAGTTGATAAAAAAACTAACAACAGAATATTAGCCCTGAACATCGATTTAAACTTGAATAGTTAACGAGTCAAATTATGTAGTTAATAAGTTCTAACTTGAACTCTGGACAAATTTGCTTATCTTATAGCCTACATTACTAGGTAATTTAGAACAACATACCTTTTTCCAAATCCCACAGCTTGACCGAGCCATCATAAGAACTTGTCACCAAAAGTCCCGAGTCGAGCAATTGCAATGAAGTAATGCCCGACGTGTGACCATTTCGGCCATGCAGGCGATGAATGCACGAACCACCGTCACGAATGTCCCAAACCTAAAGAAAAGGAAGTAGTCTTTATAGGATTGATAAAATAGACCTGTACGCCCGAGTCGGCATTGCAGAAGACCAAATGGTTTCCTTGCAGCCCCATGTCAGAGCGGGAACTTTTATGAGTGTCAAGAATCGCGACGCATGCTAAAAGAAAAAATCTAGAGGAGATTGCAACAAAATAGCGAACAAGTAAAATCCACTTCCTCTTCGCACATCCCAGACGCGTATCGTTCTATCCCGACTTTCCGAGACGACAAGATCGCGATCCGGATCAAACTAAATCAGAAACCGGATTAAAGCCAAAAATTGATATTTCACAAAAGATAATTCAACTCACTAAAAGTGAATCGACTGTAGATGTGTGACCCGTCAGCGTGTGCAAACACTCCCCCGTCTGCACATTCCAAACCTTATAGAATATTATAAAATCGAACAAAAAAGCATTACAAACCTTTACAGTAAAATCAGCAGCACTAGACACAACCCGAATTCCATCAAATTGCACACACCAAACCTGAAATTTAACTCTGCTAGGGCTACAACTTTGATGAACACACCTCCTCCAAGTGACCAGTCAAAATGTGAAGGCATTTCCCGTCGACAATGTCCCAGACTCGGAGCGTTCCATCGTCTGATCCAGAAACAAGACTAAAACATTATGATTTTAGCTGAAGCAGAAAATTTAGATAACTCACGTTGTGCCCTGTAGACTCATGCAGGTAACAGTATCCGTATGCCCCTGCAGAACATGAAGCTGGGCACCGGTTTGACCACACCAAACGCGCACGGTTTGATCAGACGAGCCACTTAAATATTGCAATGGACTTTGTTGTCACAAGTACTTTTGTCTAGAAAATTGTTAGCTTCTTTGACCACATTTATGAATTGCACTAGCTAGATTCCATTAACCAAACCTGAAAATGTATTTGCCATCATCGCTCTCTAGAATAGTCCAAATGTCACCCATATGGCCAGTTAGAGTGAAAGCCAGCTGAAAGAGGACGTAAAATAATAGTAAAACGAGACAAACTTCAGCATCATCAACATTCCAAACCCGCAACTTATTATCATCTGAACTAGTAACGACATGACCAGAGTGAATTTCTAGACAAGTGATCTCATGTTCATCGTGGCCCTAGAAACAATTTTTATAGCCAAAGCATTTGTCCGAACCTTTAGAACAGTGCTTGATTGAATCGCTCGGGATCGCCAATTGGAAATGATTCGCTGCTTTCGCAAGTACAGTGACTTCCAGGGCGATCGCTCAAAACATCTAGAAAAAATTGCATTTAGCAACAAGTTGCGTCACTAACTGTCCATATGCGATCTCGCGTTCTCGTCGATTTTGATGTGCTGCTTGAAGGTCCATTTGTGAGAAGATGGTGATTCCCGCTTCCTCATTTGCTCGATTCGTCGCCCAGCCTCCGAGAAAACGAAAGCTAAACAAAAATAAGTTAGTGACGAGTCTTTTTCTAGTTGATTTCTTAAATGTGAACCAGTTCATTCAAACAGACATTGTGATTTGTTTTTTTTCGCTTTCTATGTTTATTTGCTGTATTAATAACAGTGTTATCCCATATCTCACAAGCCTTAAAGTCTAGTTTAATATAAATCTCAAATAGGCACTTTTAAATTTTTAAATTGGTTAAAACCGTAACACACCTTGGCGCATCAAACTCCACATATCCTTGCTCCAAACATTTCTGCCGCCACGTTCGATCATCTTCACAAATTCGCTGCCACGTCCGCGAAACGCCAGCACAAACCATCAAATCGCACGGTGGCAAATAAGCGATTATGTGAAACGCAATCTAAAAATAAACAATTAATCCCACAAGCTTTAACAAAAGACAAACCTCCTCTGGTAACTGTGACAAGAAATCCTTTTGGAACAATGATTCGATGATATCCCTGAATTTGAAGATTTCACTGTTTAAGGGGATTCTCTTTACCCTTTGAGTTGAGTCTTGCTGCTCTCCGGCTTGTCCGACATCTCCCCTAAATGAAAAATTACAGCAGAGATAACACCGTAAATAATAAAAACCTCCGAACAAATTACTTCTAACCTAAATACTGTAATAGTACCCGTCCCGTGGGTAGACTTGCATCACGAGATTATCGATACAAACGGTAAGTTCATGTTTGAACCTTCAGATCTCGGTTGCTTGTACAGCTATAAACTTACTCATTGGAAAGCTAAGAATGTCAGCTTTTGACTGCTATCTCACACATAGCAAATTCTTATAAGTGAGTGCCTTAAAAGGCTTATCAATACTTATCGACACACAAATATCGATAAGGTTTATGAGGTGCTTACACATTAAAAGCCGGTATGTATACATAGCGATCAAAAGCTCACTTTCTTGACTTCCCAATGAAACAATTCTCAGCAAAGAGCTGTTCTAGAAACAGAAATCTGAACGTGCAAACATTAGCATGCCGTTTGCATCGACAAAAATCGATAAGCAAGTCTACCCGTAGCGTAGGAAACGGGTGCTATTAAAGTATTTACGGTAGATAAGCCTACTAAAAGAATTGACCAGAATGAATTTTCTCGCAAAAAGTCTCCTTAAATAGACGAAAGGGGCGCGTTTTAGAGCTCGCCATCAAAAGGCCTACGGTAGAATCATGTACACAAAACCATATTTTGTGGTTCCACTTTTCAGAAAGCTCCATCCCATTGCGCTCTTTAGCGCTTCACCCACAAAATAACCTTTAGTGCACCATCTCGTAGGTAAGGTCAGGTTTATCAGCAGAATTGAAAAGACGCTGCGGTGTTGATGCTGCGGGCGGCGAAGATTTACGGGTCGTGAAGCTAAACGGGTCGAAGAATTTTTCATTCGTCACTTTTAACCGCAAAGCTTGTTTTGCCTTCCAGCACAACGTTTTCGGCGTTAAATTTATTTGAATTGACTATAATTGTAATTGAAGCGCCGAAACACTTGAAAATAGCTTTTCAGAAATCTCCATCCCATTGCGGTCTTTAGCGCTTCACCCACAAAATAACCTTTAGTGCACCATCTCGTAGGTAAGGTTAGGTTTATCAGCAGAATTGAAAAGATGCTGGGGTGTTGAAGCTGCGGGTGGCGAAGATTTACGGATCGTGAAGCTAAACGCGTCGAAGAATTTTTCATTCGTCGCTTTTAACCGCAAAGTTTGTTTTGCGTTCTAGCACAAAGGTTTCAACGCTGAATTTAATTAACTTGACTATAATTGTAATTGAAGCGCCAAAACACTTGAAAATAGCTCAAAAAACCCCTTGCTGCCATAGAAGCACTTCTGCGATGGAAACTGCCGATCGGATGATGGTCGATGACGATGAAAAAATTAGACCAAAAAAAACTGTTTATTTGAGAGAAAACTTTGAAGCCCCGTAATTTTTTTTTCTTTTGATCTAATCTTTCTGATTTCAAAAATTTAACATAATTATCAATGATTCTGCGTTGAATGAAACCAAATACTTGATGGTTGGACGCGCATAGATCCACTTATTCATAATCGGCTGAAATTCATAATCGGCTACGGGGTCTCAACGATTTTTGAATGAAACGTTGTAGTGCCCGCCATTTTTAACATAAGCTCACAAATTGGGTACGAATCGACCCAGGATTTAATTAGCTACAAAATGATATATGAGGTACATGCATAAGAAATGTGGATTTCTACATTTTCATAAATTTCCAACGATAGAAACCTGATATCGATGAATGTTATATACTATTTGAAAGTCGTAAATCTCCTTTACAAAATAGGCTAAAACGTGTTTCAATTGATCGAAGCATTGAAGAAATTTCGAGGGCGAAATGCGAGTGACCAAAAACAGGGCATTTTTTGCAAACCCCACTTTCACAAGGGTTCGGTTTTGACTATATATTGGAAAATGACCGCCCTAAAATATCATTCAAAATAATTAAGAGTTGGGATCATTTCATGGGAAAACTTTGTTTTTACAATCATTTTTCTTTTTTGTGATAAAGCCGGTTTTTTTTGACAATTTTGAGGGTTTTGAACTTACGCTCTATCTCAATTTCTGTAAATGCATTTTCGTTAGACGTTTTTAATGAATTGATATATAGCTATCCTTTTTTGAATCTTCGATTTTGGGAAGCTAACTCTATTTTGACCACACTAAACTTGTCCCTAAAGTGACTCGATTCCTTTTTTGGCCACTCGCATTTCGCCCTCGAAATTTCTTCAATGGTTCGATCAATTGGAACACGTTTTAGCCTATTTTGTAGAGGACAAACAACTTTCAAATGTACAACTTTCAAATAGTATATAACATTCATCGATATCAGGTTTCTATCGTTGGAAATTTATGAAAATGTTGAAATCCGCATTTCTTATGGATGTACCTAGTAGTATTGTCTTTATACATTAAAAAGCTGACCTACTAGAAAGAGTTACTAAAAAAATGTCATTTATAATCAGCTACGATAGATGCAAATTTTTCAGTGCTCAACGTGTACAATGCCACCCACATTTTCTCGTCGTTTATTCACGCTGAAACGGGGCATGCCCACGATGAAACGTGGATTTCAAAAGATAAAGGATATCGGCCGAGAATTGGATAAAATTGAGGAAAGGAAATCCGAATAAATATTGTAATAAAACAGAAAATTCTGACTATTTATAGAAATTTACAAAAATTGAGAGTGAAGCCTTTAGCGGAGAAAGCTCATAGACAAGAATAAGAATCTTTTTGGATCTTTGGCAAAAACTACCCGCAGATATTACGATAGAAATATAGAAGAAACTCAAGGTCAAAAGCTCTCAATTAATATCATTCCAATGGATCACCAATAGAGTTATCCCGGCCGCCGGAATGCCAATTGTGAAAATAATCCCCGACACCAGAAACCAAAGCCATTTCCTCGATTCCGGATTGTTTTTTCGGGATTTGTACGCGAAATAGAGCAGGAAGAGGCCTAAAAACAAAGACTTCTTATCTTACTACATTCAAATGGAAATATCCATTGTTTTTATTCAATATACAGGGTGGCTGAAAATTACGTGCGCGCAGCATCAGCATCATAGTTTTTAAACAATGTATAAAGCATTACTACTCATCTTTTTGTGTTTTAATATTCTTTTTATCGTTGTCTATTAATTTTTTGTTAAAAAAGTTGTTTTCTAGGTCATGACAAAGATGTGCGCTAGTTGGGGCGCAATCGCACAGCTGGCGACGAGCAGCATGAAGAACTCGTCGATCGCATCGAGGCTTGGGGTGGCTCTGAGGACCGTCCAGAAGATCGTAAGGCAATGGAAAAATGAGGGGCATGTTCAGTCCAAGCCCGGAAGAGGACGAAAGAAGACCGTTAACACCCGAAAGATGCGTGGGATCATCAAGAGGAGGATCGAGCGAAAAGACGATCGTAGTTTGAACAAGATGGCAAAATAGCTTCAAATTTCGCGTTTCTCGGTTCAATCGATAGTGAAAAATGAGCTCGGACTTCGAAGTTATCGACTGTTAAACGGGCAAGTGCTCACCGATCAAACCAAGCAAAACCAGAAGGAGAAATGCAAGAAATTGCGAGCTTTTTTCAAGGTGCGGCGCATTGACGATGTTCTTTGGTCGGATGAGAAGATTTTCACCTTGGAAGTGGCTAAAAACTCACAAAATCACCGTCAACTTCTCAGTCCAACTCTCAAGAGCACTCGTAAACGAAAAGTCGCTACAAAAGGTCTGTTTCCAAAAAGTTTGATGGTTTGGGGTGGAATCAGTGCTTCGGGCAAGACCCCGTTGGTTTTTATCGATAAAAATGTGAAGATTAACGCAAAAGTCTATCAAAAAGAGATTCTCGAGAAAGCTGTGGTGCCATGGAAGAGGAGCCATCCCAATTTGACCCTTCAACAAGATTGGGCGCCGGCCCACGGAGCCAAAACAACAATTCACTTTCTCGAAACCAAAATTGGCTCTTTTTTGACGAAGGATCAATGGCCTGCAAACAGCCCGGATCTCAATCCGTTGGACTTTTCGGTTTGGGGTTTCATGGAAGAACAATTGAGAAGTAGGAAAATCACCAATTTGAATGATTTACGTCGAGAATTGATCAAAATCTGGAACGACTTAGATGCAAATTATCTCCGCCGCACCGTCGATTCTGTAAAGAAGCGAATTGAAGCCTGTATCAAAGCGGATGGAGGCCACTTCGAAAATTTGTTGTAATTATTAAATGCTTTTGTTACAACTATGATATAAATAAATATTTTTACATTTTCTTTGAAAGAAAATTAAATTATGGCGTTTTCTTTGGCGCACGTAATTTTCAGCCACCCTGTAAAACTTTACAGTCATAATACCAGTAACAGTATTGTTACACTATCCCATTTTCCTCCGCCTCAGGCTCCGAATTAGTGATTTTTGATTCTTTGCCTTTCAGGTTTTTGCTTTTATAACTTGAATTTTTCTTTTTCTTAATTTAATTTTTGTTTTTATGAATGAGGCAACGAATTTTCTATCGTCGAATAGATCAGATCACGAAATTCCAACTTCCCGATGAGACATTTCGTCGCCGATATCACTTTACATATCAAGGATTTCTCCGTCTTGTACAATTCATGAGCCCATTCTTGTGACAAGGCTATTCGAGGACGCTTTCGTTACGATTTCGAGTTGCTGTGAGGCCTCGATATTTGGCGCGCAATTCGTTTCAAAATGTCTGGATCTTGATCTCTTGGAATCTCTCAGCAGACCGTTTCACGACTTCTCCACAAAGCGATCGATGTTCTCTTGATCATTGTTCTCTTGATCGATGTTCAAATTGTCAGTAAATTTCTGAAATACCTGTATTCAGACGGCGACAAGGATTGATGTACAATGACATTCAGAAAGCTTTAATCCTACCTAGCACTAATTCCAGTTTATTTCCAAATATAAACAAAGCTAGAAAATTTTAGATTAAAATCATGATTTCTATATTTCAAAATTTCCCATCAATCCCTCATCTATCATTTGATTTTCGATCAGAACAATCCGATCGAATTTGTCCGGAAATGAGTCATCTATGTGTGCTTTTATCTTCGGGCCAAAAATTCCCCTCAATCTTTTTGACAACTCCACAAAGCTAGGTGAGATGTGAATGATAACATCCTCGCGTTTAGCATATTTCGAAAACTCACCCAAAAATAGCACCAAAACGACGAGGAGAATGAGGCCAGCTTTCCCATCTCCTCCACCGCCACCACCACCCGAACAAGTGCAACCGCCACACTTAAATTGCATTGATAAGTTTAAAGTTGAACCTTGAAATCTAGCCGATTTTTCATTTCAACCTCTATCTTTGTCTAACTTTTTCTTTTCTAGAACTCACATTGCATCCTCCACTGCAACAACCGCCACCTCCACTGCAACGGGGACCGACTAGAATTTTGCTTTCATTTTTGATTTAACTTTGATTTTGTCTGTGTTTAATATTTGACAACTTATTTGACTGTTTTATTTTTGAGTTAACTAGTGTAAAACTCACAACAACAACATAGAAGACAATGCGTTTCCGTTTCCACCATCGAACATGTCGAATCGTGACGATAGCTGAAAAATGGAAAAAATCTTGAAAAAGTTTGGTTTGACATGAGTCAAATGATAGTTTTTAAAGCTGCTTTTAAAATTCCCACAAACCGTTTACTCTTATTCCTCCGACAGGCCTCCAATTCCGCATCAACGGTTGAGCAAGTCGGCTGAGCGATCACGACAATGGGACCCGGCAAAACAGTGGCACCTGTCTGAAATGAATTGAATTTTCTGGAAATGAATAAACAAGGGGATTTTGTTAATCTAAGAAATTAAATCAAGATTTAACTAGTGCAGGTGCAACACACGACCGGCATATCGAAATTCTTTTTCCCTCTGATAAAAAAAAAGATTTTCAATTCTCAAAAGTTGTGTATCACTAAATTTTGTTCCAAACGTCTAGACCAAACCAGTCGCCAGTCTTGACCGGGTTTTACGCGCCTTCGCCTATAAATTGCTTGGCTTTACTGAAAGCCTGACTCACGAAAAATCCCTGGACTTGGCTTGGATTACTGAATTGTCTGGGTTTTTTTGAAAACCTTGCTTCTCACGAACCTGATCAGGAAAATATGGAGGCGGGGGTTCATTTGGCGAAAGAAAATCGGATTGGGGATCGATTCCGATACCCGATGGGGGCACTGGTGATTCATTCTAAAATTTCTCGTAAACTATTCAATAACAAACGCTCTTTGCACACGATTTATCGATCTTTTTCGACTGGATTCTGATTACTCAACCCTGGAACTCCTAGTAGCTTTGTGCATCAGTTTGTGCTCACGCTAAAATGCAAACACACTCTTTCTGTGCCACTGAGATTTAAGGGTTTCCCTCGTTTTCCAAGAAGAGAAAACAAAGAAAGCTGTGCACCAGAAAGGGTGCGTTTCCACGCATTTTCGAGAGCACAAAGCACGCCCCGGAAACAACAAGGCTTATTGCTAAATTTGTACCCCCAACTGGATCAGTGGCCGATCGGTTTCTTGGCCAAAAATTCCGAATTTCATCAAATAAAACTTTCAACTAAAATTTGAAATCATTTCAGCTATAGACAGCCATTACTTTTTTCTAACAAAAGCATAACAAAATTTACTTTTTTAGTTTTCAAACTCACCCAAACTTTCCCTTGATTTCCCTCGAGTTTCCCTGGATCAAGCGGTCCATTTTGCTGCGGTAATGCCATCAAAAATCACTCAAAATATAGAAATCGAGCGTATTTTGTCGAAAAATAATAGACAATTCAACTTTTGTCAACGGTTTGAATCAAAAGCTCATCAAAAAAAAAGCTTTCTTTGGAGGTATTAGCTGAGGTCCTTTAGCTCCAAAGAGTTCTCCCTTTTTCTTCTTTTCAGATGATTCACGGTCCCGTTATCACCGTAAAAAAGAAAAATGCTTAAAAATTCGTTTCCCGGTGACGTAGCAACGTTTGCCTTTTTCTTTTTTGTTTGATTTTCCTGTCCTTTTTGCCTTTTTTTTCGATCAGAATCGTTCAGTTTCCTCCCATTTCCCCGTTTTTTTTGGCCAAAGGAATGACACATCGAGCCGGTCACACTTTGACCTTTTTTTTGAATCTTCTTTTGTGTGACGTTGATAAGTTTGTGCCCTTTTTTCTTTTTGAGCTCTGTGATTCAACGGAAAACCGTGAATGGCTTAGATTGACATGGGAGGGGAGAAGAGTTTCAGAGGACACGTACACGGTGGCGAGTAGAGTGTGCTCCTCGCGAATAATGCGTTTTTTAAAACGCACATTTGGGAAAAATTGGGGCGAAAAAATCACGAACGCGAACTTAAATACGATTCCATTTCCTCACCCCAAGAAAAAACAATGGCTTTAGGCTTACTATGTTCAAATGTGCCGTGTACTTTCCAACGTTCGATTGCTCAAACGTTCCAAGCAACAAAACCCTGCTTACCATTTTGTTACACGAAATTCGAAAGAAGTTTACCGTTACTTTTTATTTGTGAGCCAGTTTAAGCCATTTGTCTTGCATGTGTAAATTGTGTAACGAAAATGAGATACACAACTGAAAGCAACACAACTGAAAGCAACACAACTGAAAGCAACACAACTGAAAGCAACACAACTGAAAGCAACACAACTGAAAGCAACACAACTGAAAGCAACACAACTGAAAGCAACACAACCACAACAACCACAACCAAGCAATAGAAACACCGCTGGAAACAATCACAAAAGGAAACTCTTGACAGAAAAACGAAAAAATTGTTGTTGAGAGTAATTTTTAGTAAATAAAAGTAAACAATGGAAAAATCAAGGTTAATACCTTGAGAACTTGAGAACTTTGGCATAAAGGAAAGAAAAAAGTGGGAAATATTTGAAGGGAAATCACAAACGCCAACCGAGAGAGCCATGAAAATTCAGAGGAATTGAAAAAACGGAAAAAATTCTTTAGAAAATCACAATAAGGCAAATTGGGAAAGAGCAAAAACCCGTATATACCTATGGATACGATGCGTCAAAATCGATCAAGATGAGCTTTGCACAGACGAGCAATGTTTCGGTGGCTTTAAGACGCCAAATGCAACCGCCAGATCCACCCGATTGAAGATGAACGAGGTCACGGACGAAAATATCTGAAAATGAAAAAAAATTAACAACAGAATACAATGATGACGATTTCGGACTGTTTAGGCAGTAGCATAACTATTAACATTTAAAAAGTTACCATTAAAATCTAAAAACAAATACAAAATTTCAACAGTAGTGGCAATTCGGTAGTTGAAACGATTGCTCAAATTTGGTATAAATTTGTTGTTTTGCTTTGCGAGGTTATACGAATTGTGTGTTTTTAGCTATTGTTCTGTAACTGTAGTAATCGTAGTAATAATCGTAATTGTAGTCAAACTATGCTTTTCCCTTTTCATCGATTTTAAATCCCTAAAAGCAAAAGAAAAAGAGTAGAACGTCGGTTTCGAACTAGAGAGTCTTTGCCTTGTATTCTAACTCACTGTCACTCTGTCACTCTGTCACTCTTCTTCATAAAGTCTCCGACAAATCCGCTTATAAAGTCTGATTTTTGAAATCTCATAAAAAACTTTGTACGCTTATAGCTTTTGACAGAGTGTTCCATAGCAGAAACGAAAAGAAGATTCAGATTCGGTGTTGAATTTTGTGTCGAATAGCATATGGTGTCATTTGATTTGATGCCATTTGGTGACCACAGTTGGCATTGCGTTGACCATCTTCCACCAAACGATTCAATTCCGAATTCTCATGGCCTAAAAAAAATTCACAAAATTTTCTAGATTTTATAGATTTTTATCCGTTTACTTAAGCATTGACTTTATAGTTTAACATATCTTTACAAACGGCTTTTAGCTTTGTGCACTTTGCACGCAACGAACCCTTCTGTTGTACTCAATTTTTTCATTTTCCTTGAGATTAAGAATGGGAAAAGCGGAGAATTGACTGCGCTAGGGAGGATGCGTTTACGTTAGACTTAGCCTATCAAACGCCTATCAAATGCCTATCAAACGTTTATCAAACGCCTATCAAGATCAAGATCAATTTCTCAATAAGCATCAATCAATTTACGGCTTTCGCAATGGAAATTGATTATCGAGAGCAACAATTGGTTTTTGTATTGCAGAATGGTACTTGTTTGCTTCTTTGTTCTTGTTAATGCGCTTAGCTGAATAGCTTAGCCTGTACAGTTACGGCCAAATGAGATCCAAAAGGCAATGTCAACTGGGCATGGTGGCCAAATGAAATGTGCCAAAAGTAAAACCAAAAGTAGAACAGCGGACTCGAACTAGAGAGGTTTTGCCTTGTATTCTAAGCCACTGCCACTAGGCCATCACTGCTTGTTAAAGTATCTGGGAAATCTGCTTATAAAACTCTGAAATCTCATAAAAAACTTTGTACGCTTATAGCTTTTGACAGAGTGCTCCATAGCAGAAATGAAAAGCAGATTCGGAATCGGTGTTGAATTTTGTATCGAATAGCATATGGTGTCATTTGATTTGATGTCATTTGGTGACCACAGTTTGCATTGCGTTGTCAGGAGAAAAAAGAGTGCAAAAACGTGTACAATGAGAAGAGGAAAAGAAAAAAAAAAAGCAAAAATTTTGTGTGAAAGATTTTTTTTCAGTGAAAATGATGCTCATTTTGATAGGTGATAGCCTTGAAAAGATGAAAAAAAAAAAGAGAAAAATTTGCCGGTTTTTTTTCGAAAAACCAGTCTTTTCCCATTGGTATTATATTGATTATGATTATAAAGGAATTATTTTTCCCAATTTGTTTGCTTATTGGTAGCTTATTGCTTATTGCGCTTTAGATTGGGAAATTTTAAGGTTGATGGTTGCTTGAATGATGATATTCTCAATTTTCAGCTTTCATTATCTTGCTAGAGTTCAAAATACTTTGAATACTTTGAAAAAGACGATTTCACGATTGTTTTTATGTTTAGATTTATATCGTAACTGATTATGACTAGATTTTTTTTCCATTTATTCCCTTTTTCTCTATTTCCTTTCTCAAATTATTATATCTTTAGTTTCTTTACAAAATTTCGCTTTTTTTCTATTCTTCTTGGCTTATTTGATTAAATCTTTCAAAAAAAAAGGAAATAAATCCGTTCTTAAACACTTTCAGGGGGTGGGACAAATGATACCTTTTTTTTGCGCACCTGGACATTTGCGCACCTTTTTTTTTACTGGAAAAGGCCTTAGGAAAAGTCGTAGAGCTTCAAAAACGTTTTCATAGAAGGAAATCGTATGCGTAGATTCCGAATTTTGACAAATCAGACCTCGCTGACACGTTAAATTTGGGCTAAAAGGCAAAAACTACGCAACTTAACGCTTTTCCGCAGTTTTTGCCTTTTAGCCCAAATTTGACGTGTCAACGAGGTCTGATTTGTCAAAATTCGGAATCTACGCATACGATTCCCTTCTATGGAAACGTTTTTGAAGCTCTACGGCCTTTCCTAAGCTCTCTCCCCCCCCCGCCCTACCCTGCCCACCCGCCCCCCCCAGCCCCCTGCCTACCCCGCCTTGCCCCCCCCCCCCCACCCCCCTTGCCTTTTCCAGCAAAAAAAGGTGCGCAAATGTCCAGGTGCGCAAAAAAAAGGTCGCATTTGTCCCACCCCCAAAATAAATCCGTTCTTAAACACTTTCATCCGTTCAAAAAACATTTGCTTTGTCATTTTTTTTATTTTTTTATTCAACTTTTTTATTTAACTTTTTATTTTAAGGATTCCTCATCGAATGTGAACGATCTTCTTCTATTTTCTCTCCTTTTCGATCTGTCTTTTCGCTTCTTTTAATTCACTAAACGATGAACAAAATCTCATTTTCCCACAAAACATTTCTATTCTATTCAATTCTTTCTTTTCTCTTCACTTTCTCCACACCGAATCCCATCTCTACCTCAATTTTACAATGCCAAAAGCGATGTTTAGATGGGAATATTGTGAGTGTTTTATGTAGATTAGTTGAAAAACTTTGAAAAGTTGTTTGAAAAAGTTGATGTAAATGAATTTCATGATAGCAAACTTTTAAGGCTTTTGCTAAAAACTTTAGCTTTTGGCTTTTTGGCTTTAGCTACGTGTAAATAAGTAAATAAAATTTCGAATTTAAAGCTTATTCTAGTAAAAACTGATTGCTAAGATAAATTTCTACATATAAAATCGATATTCCAATGATCTAAAAATCAAGGCTTTCCCGTTGGCTCGAGATGAGACAACTTGGTCATCGAATTTTCTCCAATCGTGCGATTATGGGTGTCGCGTGAAAGCGGTATGATATAAAAGAATTTTTAAAAGCTTCTTGTTCTTTGTGTTTTTACAAACGCTCTTTTCCTGGCAGACTCTTTGAAAGGCGATTCTCAAGTAGTAAAGTAAAGAAATGAATGGCAAAGAATTGAAAGGGAATTGATTCCTCGACCTTCTGCTTACCAGACAGATACTCTACCATTGAGCTATTGACGCCTTCTTTAGAAGAAGAAATAGGAAAGCTAAGGAAGAAGAAAAAAGGGAAGAAGAAAGAAAGGAAGAAGAAAGTAAGGAAAAAGAAAGGAAAAAAGAAGAAAGGAAGGAAGAAAGGCAGAAAGAGATGCAAGATTTATGCAGGAGAGTGTTTGTGAGAGCACAAGTGAGCCAGGGAAATGTGTTTCAGTGTGTGACTGGTTGTGGGGACATCGAGGGTCTTGTTTCCACGTGTGCCGCGCGGTGTTCATTAGAGAATGGAAGCGACAGTTGTCGACAGGGATGCCATGCGGTCGAGCAGACCTTCTTCAGTCAACTACAAGGTATGTACAACTGAAAAACCTGACTCCTTTTTTGCAGATTTAATGAACAAAGCACTTATCACAAGCTCACCGGCTCTCCCAATCGATTTCTCCATTCAGCCGGAGCTAATCCCTGTGAAATTGTCATTTCCCGATGAGCAAATGAAAATTGTGAAAGAAGTTGGTGATTATTTACTTTGTAAAATCATTTTTTTGTTTCGATCTCGACCTTTGAAGTGGAATGGTATGTGCAAAGTCGGAAATTGGATGGGAATCCCGGTTGGAGATGGGCACAACTACCACAAAAGGTTTAAATATTAGCTATTTACTGTAACTTTATTCAATTTATATCGTAAATCTTTAAATGCAATATTTTCTTTTTCTTTCAGAGTTTCCAAAACGCGTCGATTCCGAGCGTGGTTGGGGTGGCGGGTGAGAGCTCGGAAAAGGTTTGAAAGACAAAGCACATCTATTTATTGTAATATATATATGATTAGATAACTATTTTGATTCATTTCTTTAGAAATTACCGAGTTTCACCTACCGTAAATACTGTAATATTGGTGCAAAATACTGTAATATTGGTGGTGCAAAAGAAACTGCCGATTTGACGGTAAATTCAAAAAAAGATGGCGTTCGATGGTGACATGATCACAATGGAATATTTTCCCAAGATCTCGAGCAGATTGGCATGGATCGGCCTGAATAACGTCCCTCAGCTTGGCCTCGTTCACGACTTCTGGCCTCGAATCGTGCTCGTAATCTTCCAAAGTCTCGTCTCCCTCTCGGAATCGTTGAAACCAAGTCTGACACTGCCTGAGAGACGAACTGCCATCGCCATCTCCGAAAGCAGCACAGAGAGAACGCAGACTCGGCAGCAGACTTTCCAATTTTGAAGTTAAACAGTAATGCTGCTCGTAGCACAAACTTTTGCTCGACCATGATCTAAATAAAAAATATAAGCATTTTAAAATAAAATAAACAACAACCAAAAAATTCAAATGTCGAAATAAATAGCAAACAAATATGCGAATAAAGCATAAAAAATAATGCCGTTAGCATCGCTCGTTTCTGATAAATGAGAGCTGATACCCATCGGCAGTTTCTTTTGCACCACCCTAATAGTACCCCACCCCCCTCGTACGTGTCCCAAAAGTTTTTTAGTATTTCATTTTTTTCAAAGCGCCCGTACTTTCAAAAAATGCGTCTTTGGTATCAAAAAATAGCTGAAATTCAGGGCTATTTTTTGATACCTAAGCGCGCATTGTAGCATAAACCAGTGTCGAGAAACACTTGTTCAAAGCTAGACTACGCAACGCTCCGCACCGTCATTATGGGGGTGGGGTACTATTACAGTATTTACGGTAGGACTTCTAAGCTAGGCTGGTCAGCTAAAATTTGATCTAAAGCCAACTCCAGGCTTAGCTTCTGGTGGGATCAAGGTGCTGTAAAGCTAGGCCAACCAAAGTCAAAAGCCAGACTTGGACCTAATCTCCTGCCTTATCCGAAAAATTGTCCAAAAATTGAATCCCAGGTAGTGATGAGAGGTGCAGTCTCATGGCGTGGCCGAGTCGTCGTCTCCCCAATCATCGAAGTGATCATCCCACAAGAGAAAATCATACCAAAGCTTGAGGTAAGAGGAAAAAAAGGAGATAAAAGCAGCCATGTATTCATAGAGCCATTTAAGCTCAAAGTTTTCTTTATTTTGTTGAACTTTTGAAGATTTCGAGGAAAATTCTAGCTCGAGAATACCCTGCAAATCGCTTCGGACAAGTACTCGGCCTGTTGGAAAAGCAATCGGGCAAAGGTTTTTTTTAAAACTTTAGCATTGTTTTTAGCATTGATTTAGGCAAAATTTCGTCTAAAGCTCTTCAAGTTGGACGATTCTTTGGTGGAAACGATCGATTCATCATTTAATTGTCATTTATGGAGGGTTTGTGTTCGCGATTACTAACTAGAGCACTTTTACACTACCCCTACATTATCTACAGTGATTTCTAGGTGTTATGGGTGCTGTAGAAGTGTAGGAGTACAGATGGGGTCTGTGGGGAGCTTGGGTTTACTTCTACTGTACTCTAAAAGTCTAGGAATGACTGTAGAAACGTAGAAGTACTAGAAGTACGTAGAAGTACTGTAGAAACGTAGAATCAATAAACCCCCAGTTCCTACAGTACTTCTACAATAGCTACAGTACTTCTACAATAGCTACAGTACTTCTACAATAGCTTGAGTACTTCTACAATAGCTTGAGTACTTCTACAATAGCTTGAGTACTTCTACAATAGCTACAGTACTTCTACAATAGCTACAATACTTCTACAATAGCTCCTAGCTACTCCTAGAGTACCGTAGAAGCTGGGAAGTTACAGAATCTATAAAAATGAAAAATGAAATTGAATACACAAAAAAATACCTGTGCTGAATAGTAGACAATGAAAATTTTGATATCCAAGAATTTTTCAGAGCCTTCCCCGGGAGAATTGCTGCCGAGTGACCATTGCGGACATCACTGACAATCCAGAGCTACCAATTTTGGAGATAACGCTGAAGATTGAGCTGGCTGAAGTGCCAGGTATAAAAAAAATTACAAACAAATTAAAGACTAGATTTAGAGCCGATCTTCCCCGATCCATCGCTTTTGATCACGAATGGAACACACATCGAGAGATTGGAGAATTTGAATGACTATGTGCTCAAGAGAAGCCCTATTTTGGTGCCATTCGATTTGGGAGATGAGGATCAGATTACTGGTGGAGTTTTTTTTTGGGTTATAGATCTTGGGTTGGTTTGGAAATTTTGGTCTAGGAACAGACCTGACTTGAGTGTTTACGGTGATCAAATTGTACCGATGGCTTACTATGTTTGCTGTTGGATCTAAAGCTTTGTGCTACAGTATCTACAGTGTCTAACTAGGGAAAATCACCAGGTGTTCGTGATCTTTCAAAACGCCATCTTATAGAATTGATTACGCTGATTCCGAATCCGCTTTCAGTTTTTGCCCTTGAGGCCTGTAAAGCGAGATATCTGGGTTACAAGTTTTAGGCCTCCTTACTTGAGTTCATTTTTCGCAACCGAGTCAACTGGCTATGTAGCGCATCGCTAAAGCTATTGATTACGGGTCCAAAGCACTCTGGTTCAATCCCCTTCTCAGCCAATCTTTTTCGGTTTTTTTAATTTGGCCTAAATTGCATTGAAACAGTAAGATGGAGAAAAAAATATGTTTTATGATTAAGCTACGACTACACTGATTCCATTTTACGGAATCAGTCAAGCCGATTCTATAAGATGGTTCAAAAAATTAAATTATAAAAAGAAAACTGGTACGGTAGCCATGGATTACGATAGTTTTTTTTTTCAATTTTTTGAAAACGTTTAATCAAATTCAAGTCTTAACAATTTAGCTATCGCCGGTATTGCAGAAGATCTTCTCGTTGTTGGAACAGAGCATGGAGGGATTTGGATAGTTCCATCACCTCCAATTCCATACAAAAAAGAGAAAGAAGAAATGGGAGAAGATGGAGAAATCGAGGAAATGATTGAAGGGATTGGAGGGAATGGAACGGAGACAACGACGCCTGAAGTGGGTGGTGTCAAACTCTATTCGGTTTCGTTCGAAAGTCTCAAGTGTTTTCTACAGAATGGCCCATAATTATACGTGCAGATAAAAAGCTTTTTAGGTAGAAAAGTAGGTTGGCAAGAAAGTTCGTAGAAAAAGTTTGCACGGTGATTTCTCAAAAAACCAAGCCTCGAATTCTTCCTAGATATTTCAAAAAGTTTTTGACAAAAAAAAATCAGAGATTTCTTTCAGCTAAAGTGACTTGATCACTTTTTGAGTGATCAGCCTTTGGATATCACATCGATCTGTTATCACACCGGTGTGATATCACACCTTTAGACAAGTTTTTAATGGGTTAATGAATAGGCCAATGGAGCCCATTCAAAACCTAAAACCTAAGCACTTAAAAGAGGGAAAATTTGTAATTAAGGAAAATTTAGATCAAATTTTGCTTTAATCTTTTAATCTTTAATCCAAATTCTTACTACTTCTTACTACTTACCACTACACCACTGAGGCCGTTGACTGAAAACAGTGCGTCGCCCACATATTAGGTTGGCAACTTAATAATGACGCGTTTATGTAACAAATCATTTATTTCAAAAAAACACAAAAGAAGAGCTTTCAATTCGAAAGGTATTCTCCATTAGTATCTATGACTTCTTCCCATCTTCTGCGCAAATCCCGGATCCCATCCTCGAAGAACTTGGGAGGTTTTTGAGGCGAAGTAGTCATTCACTGCTTTTATGACCTGACCATGATCATCGAACTTTTCTCCCTCCAAAAAGTGCTTCAGCGACCGAAACAAAAAGTAATCTGAAGGAGCCAGATCAGGTGAATAAGACGCGTGGGGCAAAACTTTCCAGCCAAGTTCCTCGATTTTCTTATAAGTGATCTTTGCAGTGTGAGGTTTTGCGTTGTCGTGTAAAAATCTGACTCTCTCCGGTTTGAGCCCCAATTTTTTCAAAGACTCGTTAACTCTCATTAATTGCTTCGAATAAAGATCAGCATCGACGATTTGGCCAGGTTTCAGCACTTCATAATGCACCAATCCCTTGAAGTTCCACCAGCAACAGAGCATTATCTTCTTCCCATGGATATTGGGAGTGGGTTTGGGAGTGGTTTGGGAGTGGTTTGAGGGGTCTGCCCAGCAGATAGCCATTGATTTTTGCGTTTAACGTTCTCGTAGTTGATCCACGTTTCGTCAGAAGTCAAAACCTTGTGAAAAAAAGTCGTTTGATTTACATTTTTGTAGCAAAATTGAGGCGAAATTTTGTTGCTTTGGGCCAGTTCGTGAGGAACCCATTTTCCAACTCGATTCTTTTCCCAAGTTTGTGTAAATAGTTTTTGATTGTCGTATGGGATACTTCAAATATTTCTGCCAACTCACGAACGGTGAGTGTTGGGCAATCTTCAATTAAGGCGAGCAAGTCATCGTCGACCACTTCTGGAGGATGTCCTTAGTGTGGCTCGTCTACGAGGCTTTCATCGCCGCCTTGGAATCTTTGAAACCATCGTTGACATTGCCGAATGTGTATACTTTCCTCCCCAAAAACAGTGATGATCGTGCGATGAGATTCAGCTGGTGATTTTCCTTGTTTAAAATCGTAGAACAATGCAGCTCGAATACGGAATTTTTTGTCCTCCATTTTTTGCCAAAAAGCAAATGATGAAATTTGGAGCACTGAATGTTATTTATGTAGACATCTTTTACTTTGTATATATGCAAAAAAGAGGGAAGAAACGGCGCTTGAAATTACAAAAAACATGTTAAGTAGTGACGCGTCATTATTAAGTTGCCAACCTAATAAATAGACCCCAAAAACTTGTATGCCAAAGATCTCGCGATAGAGAAGCGTTTGGCAAAAACTGATTGCAGATTCGGAATCAGCGTAAAAAACGGCATCAGATAGGCTATTTCCTCGAGTCAAAAGCCACGATAAGTTAACAGCATTCCCTAGTTAGTGCCAAGAAGGTGACACCAAAAAAAATGATTTTTTGAAATACAGCTTCTCTGTAATAAAATTTGTTGACTAAAAATAGAGATTATAAAGCGTATTGCTTATTTATACTAGCTTTATCTCATAAGAAATCGTTTTTCTGGTGCAAAAAGTGAACTGAATTTAAGCTGGAATAATGATAGTTTTTCAAAAATCTCTAAAATTTTAAGCGAAAGCTGCACTCATTTTTTTTAAAGAGTAATTTCTTGGAGTAACTTTTAAGAGTGATTTTTAAATAATACAACAAAATCATCTTGAATTCGTGGATTCGTTTTTGAAGAAATTCTAGTCAAGTCTTTTTCCGAGAACTTTCTTTTCAACCTTAGCAAAAACATCAGCCAATTTTATGGACGTTTAAATCGAGGATTTGTCTTTCAGCCCGACGACCATCCAATCCCACCCGCTCTCCCGAGTGCCATCAAATTGAGAGATCCCGATGGAAGCAGTATCACACACATTGTTCACGGTTTGTTACTGGTTTACTCTTACAAGGGAAAATCAACTGACTGAGCTGGAGAAATGCTATGAGACCTATACCATTTGACACAGAATTTGATGCTGATTCCGAATTTATATTCCGTTTTTGCTAAATGAAAATCTACCAAGAGTTCTACGCGTCTAAAGTTCCTTCAAAAATTCGGTCATTTGGGTCTTACTGGCCGTCTTAGTGGCCTTTTAGTGGCCGTCTTAGCGGACTCCTTTCGGTGTAGCCGTGGCCAAGTGGTAGAGCGTTCGTTTCCAGCGCGAGACCGTGCAAGTTAGGTCCCCGCTTTTTTTTTCAAGAAGTGGATACTACCCCTGGTAGATTATCATTTCGCAAAAACGGAATACATATTTGGAATCAGAATAAAATGCTGCGTCGTATGGTATAGTTCGCATAGCATTTGGCCAGCTCAATCAGTTGAACATGCCTTGTTAAAAAGCTATGTAACCTTTTCCAGATCCAATGCAACGTATGATCTATGCGCTTCTCTCAAAAAAGGGTCTCCTCCGTTGTGCACTCGACCCAACACCGTGCACTTTTCTCAACACCGATTCCCCGATGCAGTACATTTCGGTGGATAGCTGGAATGGGTTGGTGAAAGGAAAGGCAATGTAATTACATAGCCTCGTAAAAACTTACGATTTAAAATTTACCCTAGCTACCATAATCCGCAAGAAATTGACACCAATGAGGCGTCAATTTCACAATTTCATCAAAGTAAACTTGTAAGAGAAAAAGAATTTGAACGTTTTTACTATTACAGCTTTATATACTTATATAGATCTGAAATGTTTGGAGTTCATAAGCCGATACTTTTGTGTTATCTGAGGGGAATCTTTTCCGTTCATTTTCCACTTGATTCCTTTACTTTAAGGAAAATTTTCTATGCCAAATATCTTGCGTTTACGAAGCGTTCTGCAAAAACCGAAAACGGATTCTCGATGGCCCATGGCCGACTCTATAAGATGGACTTGATCTTGAGATAAAAGGCCAGCTTGACTTGGTGCCTTTTCCTTGTCAGAGATGTTACCGCAACTCAGCTGCCTTAGTTGTAAAAGCAACATTCACCTAATTATTGGTTAACTCAACACAATTCAAACGTTTACGGAAGTTGGCGGACTCTTTAGAGCGGCCAATTGACTATAAATCGGTGTTCTTAAAAAACTCGAAAGAATACAGTTTTGTCTATTTCATCACCGCCGAAGGAAATCTCGTGCAAGCCGAACTCTTCTCCTATAATGCAACCGAATCGTACTCCTTTGAGAGAACAAAGTTGATGAGTGGTTGGTTTAACAAATGAAATACCAGCAAATGCATAAGTTCTTTCGATTGTAATTTGTTTTGGTTTGAAAAAGAATCCAAAAATCCTTGATTATTAGATCTTTCACCGGCTGTCGCAATGGAAATCGATTATCGAGAGCAACAATTGATTGTTGTATTACAAAATGGTACTTGTTTGCTTCTTCTTGTTACAGTAAACTGTTGGTTGAATAGCTTAACTTGGACAAACAGGTAGGACGTTCGTTTCCAGAGCGAATGCATACATATTCGGAATCAGCATAAAATTCTAAATCGGATGGTATAGGTCGCATACCATTTGGCCGGCTCAGCCAGTTGACCTTTCCTTGTTAGTGCAAGGCTCTAGGCTTTGCATTAAGTCCAAGCCTAAGTCCAAGCCTAAACCAAGCCTAAGTCCAACTCTAAGCCAAGCCTAAGTCCAAGCCTAAGCCAAGCCTAAGCCAGAGCTAGGAATCAGATTTATGCCGAGTTAGGTCATACTAACAAAGCCAAGTCGTTAGATTTGACCAAAACTGATTCTGCTAGATTAGGTGGCAAGACTAAATAGTAAGATTTAACCAACAGAAATCAGGCCAGGTTAGCAGGAGAGTTTGGGCAAGCAATAGTCAGCTCATGACCAGTTCTGACCAAACTTGGGCTGACGTCTGGCCTTGGAAATCTCTCTTATGAATGCCGATCGCTCGGCGTTGAAGATCACTTTGATGACGAAATCCTCGTCGGCAATTCTTTTCATCAAATTTCTCAACCAATTAATATCGTATTTTCCTTGGAGAAGCGTCAATACTGAAACTAGGAGATTCATAAAGTAAAAAGTTTATTTAAAAGTTTAAATTGAAACTCACAGTTACTACTCGAGATCTTGAGTGCAAGGCAGTAGAAAAGACTGCACATTTTCCACTGAATGATGGCAAGTTTCCGCAAAATTCAGCGCTGAGTCGATAAAATGCTCAAGAGTCGTTGCGAGGGTTGTGCTAGATTGCTATATTATTGCCAAGCTGGCTTCGCAATAAGCCTAGTCAAGCTTCACTTATCATTCTTGGACCAGTTACTAAATGAGTTAAAATGAATTAATGAATTAAAACGAATTAACCCATTCGAAACTTCTGCAGCGAATAATCGCTGCAGCAAAAACTCGGGAACGGACCGCTGCAGCGATTATTCGCTGCAGCGCTAATCGAGCTATTTTCATTCAATTAATTGCTTTTTTTTTGCTGTTTTTCAGCATTACATGTATATTCCAATTGTAGCAGATCTACAAATTACGTGGGCAAAAAAGATGTTTCATATTTACCCGGAATCAATGCAGTCTCTGGTTTTGCATTGAAATGTTCCATAATAGCTCTAATCTTATAAAGCCAATCTCCTGCAGGATCCAGTTCATTATCACAAAAACGCAGGTTGCGAAGAATAGATTCAAATTTTGCTCTTGACATAATGTGGGACATGTGGGAAACTCCTCCTAATCCAGGCCTGCTACTCCAGTAGTCACGAATCCTCGGTAATTTGACGATTCCCATTTGAAGCCAGGAAGAGCTTGAAAGACTTTGCATCGAAATCCTGCCAGTTTGTTTTCCTTTTTCCATGTTTATTAGATTCGCCTATTAAAATATTGTCGTCGATAAAATAAGAACAATAATCGATAGGATCTTGAAAAGTACTGAAGTCAAATCCAAATCGTTCTTCATCAAAAATAAATGGTGTAGGAGACTCTCTTACATCTTTCCAACCATAAATAAACTGCTTCGGAGTCAAAAATGTCAAAAAAGGGCTTGGTCCGTAGACGAAAAAAAAGAAAAAAAGCTGCGGTTTCGAATGGGTTAATGAGTTATTCAGTTTATTATGTCAATTCTTTTTCTTTTTAAGGCTCAATCTTCGGTCGAGATATCGTCAGTGGGAATATTTCTTTGATCCGTGATGGATCGTATCCAGCAGTGAAAAAGATGCACATCGTCGATGGAAGAATATTTTGGACAAAGTTTAAAGTATACTGTAGCTGAATCATTCAAATTAAAGCCCAAGCCACAGCATGAATATAGAAATAATCGAGTTTAGTGTGGTGATAGCCAACTTGACGAGCTGTGTTTCTATTCGGAGGAGAAAGAGGAAGAAGGAGTGCATTTCAGCAGGTAAGGAAGAAAAAGGTTTAATGTAATTGATCCACTTCTTTCAGATATTTTTTCACTGGTGAATTGAAAGATTTCTCGTTTGCGCAGTCGCCAATTTATCCATGCTGTTTGCCGAAACCCGATGCGATTGGTTTGATCTCGAATGATCGAGAAGCACGCGTCACATGGCCTCCACTAACAGCAATGCCCTATCAAGGTGGAAAAGTATTTATCTGACTATTTTTGATCTAGCTTCTGATCCAGGCTAGGCCAAGAAACTAGCTTCTGGACTGGCTTGATCTGGCCGAGCCGTCTGGCCGCTGAGTCCACCCCAAGCCTTTTCAAGAGATTTCTTCAAAGAATCAATGCTTGAATGAGTTTTGGCTTCTAAGACACTCCAAAAACTGAAATGCAATCCCATCAAACGTCTTGAGATACCCATTTTTGAGGCTAGTTTTCCTCGGGAACAGGCTCCTTTGTCGGCTCCGTTGTAGCGTAGGCTTTCGCGCACTTTCACTCTCTCCTTTGTTGTCACTGTCGTCCTTGGCAAGCGGAATTCGTTTCCAAGGCTTTGTAGCGTTGAATTGTCTTTGAAACAACAGACTTAGCCACCAATCAATCGACCGGCAATGCTTTTCTGCCTCATTCCCGGTTTGTCGAAGTCGAATCCCTGTGCTCCGATTTCTTCGCAATTCTGAAATTTCAAAAATAAAGGCAAATAAGATGTTGCCAAAATTTTAATTGACAAGGAAAACAGGAAAAACTGTCAAGAATTTGAGTACTCATAACGATTAAGAAGAACGCGGCACCTCAATTCCCGTAATTGCGCCCAATCCAAAAAAATGACTCCGTGAGTCTTTAATATCTCGCCTTGCGAGTGGATGCAGATGATAAACTGGCGTGCGTTTAAATGAAGAAGCATAGTAGTGAGGGTTTCTTGTAAGTGAAATGAATTGTAAGTGAATTGGCGACGTAAATACAGAAGGAACGCAACAAAACGCGTTGAATGACCACACAGAAAGAGACGAAAACCGAAACTCCCGGAAAAGAATTAGTGAAATGGCAAATGAAATGGGGGAAAGGGGAAATGAAATGGCGGAAAAGGGAGGGTTACGGTAATTGGGGCATCACTTAGAAAAGAGGGGAAGACGGGGAGACGGGATTGAGGGTATTTAACTGTTTAACTATTTAACTATATTTAACTAACAAGTTTGTAAGTTTCAGCGATGGGCGACGGTTGGCGAAATGTGCATTACGAGTGTCGACTGGAGGCAATGGATGGATCGTCGAAGCAAACACAGCACACGAGTGGAAACGATTTGGTGAGTGCTTTGGGAAGCAGAAGGTCCGCAGGTCAATCTACGTTTACAAAATAATATCTGATTAGTATACCTGTTCCAGTTATTCCCAGTGATGCCAGGTCTTGAGTACACAGCCTCGGTCAAAGGATGTTCACTCGACATTTGCAGTCCGTTCGCTAGTGTCATCGATTCGGCTTTCGGGGAGTTGATTGGTAAGTTACAATGTACATTTTCTGTACATTTACTGTACATTTTCTGTACATTTTCTGTACATTTACTGTACATTTTCTGTACATTTACTAGTAATGTACTGTACATTTACTGTACATTTTCTGTACATTTACTGTACATTTACTGTACATTTACTGTACATTTACTAGTAATTTACTGTACATTTACTGTACATTTACTGTACATTTACTGTACATTTACTGTACATTTACTAGTAATTTACTGTACATTTACTGTACATTTACTGTACATTTACTGTACATTTACTGTACATTTACTAGTAATTTACTGTACATTTACTAGTAATGTACTGTACATTTACTAGTAATGTACTGTACATTTACTGTACATTTTCTGTACATTTACTAGTAATTTACTGTACATTTACTGTACATTTACTGTACATTTACTGTACATTTACTGTACATTTTCTGTACATTTACTGTACATTTACTGTACATTTACTAGTAATTTACTGTGCATTTACTGTACATTTACTGTACATTTACTAGTAATTTACTAATAGATTTACATATCTAATGCAAGTTTTATCAGTTTTGTCATTCCCCAAGGTGGATTTTGGGTCCATGCGGCAACGTTTGCTGCATGGACCCAAAACGTTTGCTGCATGGAGCGTATCTCTTTCAATTTCCTTAGTGAGGCCAAATTGAGCGCACCAGGCTCTAGTTACACGATGTATTTAAGTGTTTTTAACGTACGTCACGTTAAACGCAAAGTTCAAGCTCACATTTCAGGCAACCCTGTCTACGTGCTCCAAAAATCCGAATCAGGCCATCAACCGCTTGACATCATCGGCCAGAATATCTCATTTGAGCCGGCCCGTTTGTGATGTTTTTGTAGCTCAAAAAATTGTGTTTAAGTGGCAAATCTCAAATTTGAAAGTGGACTGAAAATTGCTATTGACAATACGACGCAAACGATTTACTCGAATTCGATTCGAGATCAGGTGAAATGAAAGAAAAAAATCCCAGAGCTGGAGGGGTCGAAAATAAGATTCATTTATTGAAACTGATTGGAACTTTAGACAAAATGGAGATAGCTAGATGATCTAGATGCAAGCTGTTAAACTTGTTCCGTACAATGTGTACAGTCTTGTATAGTTTACGAATAAATCTCTCGTCCATTACGTCAATATTGCATATTGCAGTAACAAATCCACATAGTAGGAGATGTTATTAGACTCACAATGGATTAACTACTTGTCTAAAGTCTTGGAAGATTGTAAAATTCCTAGAACCTTCAATAAACGACTGTCTTTGACAACGATTGACAAATTCAAGAGTTGAAAAGACATTGAAAACTTCCAGAGAATGTTGTTCTAGATTTTGTTTTATAAGCACGAGTTTCCAGGCCACAATCTCCCGCTATTTCCTCGAATCGTCGCCTTCTTCCACTCCATCACTTTCCCCATCATTCCCCATGATTCACCCAATTCTTTCCTATTTCTCGATCACTTCAATCACTTCTCTTCCCACTCGATCCCTTCTGATCATCGCTTCTCCATACGCTGTCATCGCATATCGTTTCACTGGAACAATGGATCAAATGTGAAAAATTTAACTTTGCTAATGCATTTCAAAGCCTAGCACTTTAAGGAAGACTTAGTGTGCCAGAAAGGTTACGTTTACAAATATAAGATCACAGAATACGCTTTTTCAAGAATATACGCCTGTTCGTCTCTCGATGTCACCGTTTGTGCCGAGGTGATCGCGTTGGCCGCCGATGAGACGACTGGGGAGATTTTCTTTTTGACCCAGGTTTCGGATATTTCAAAGCCTATAACTAGATTCTATTTGAGTATTTGGATCATTGAATCCGATTCAAAAAAAAAAACGGTTAAAACTATGTTTTCAGCTTTCAAACGGCACGACTCAGTTGCATCAAGTCGATCCATCCACCCGTCTTCCACAACATTTAGCCTCGTCTTCCGAGTTTCCACCGTACGTTTTGAGTAATCGACAGAGAAAGACTTCGCGCATCGAATCATATCAAGAATGTTAAAATTCGACAGCCAAACACCAAGAAATTTAAACTCAAACTTGCTAATGGGAAAAGGGGCGGGGCCAGAAAGTCCTTTTATACCCGCCCCGCCCCTTTTCCTATTAACAATCTTACTTTGAGCTTAAACTTGGTGTTGAGCCCTCCAATCTAAATAGTTTTTGTATAAATCGATAGAGAAAGACTTAGCGCATTTAATGATACCAAGAATGTTCCAATTGGATGGCTTGACACCAAGAAATTTGAGTTCAAAGTTAGATTGCTAATGGGAAAAGGTCTCAGAGCCCCGCCCCTTTTCCCATTGGCAATCTAAATTTGAGCTCAAATTTCTTGGTGTCAAGCCATCCAATTGGAACATTCTTGGTATCATTAAATGCGCTAAGTCTTTCTCTATCGATTTATACAAAAACTATTTAAATTAGATGACCCGATACGAAGAAATTTGAGTTCAAAGTTAGATTGCTAATGGGAAAAGTGACGGGGCGCGTATTAAATGTTCAATCATCCTATTAACAAGGAATTTCCAGCATCTCTCACCTTGCCATCATCAAGAACAAGCTGCTCTTTTTGACGAGAGATGGTCGAATGGGATTTGTTGATAAGAAATTCGACAAGATCAATATGAATTACGTGGTGGAAAAGGTGAAAATCGAGATCATATTTAAATATCGTTTTCGTGTTCACCGTACTCCAATCGCTTTTTAAAAGTTAACAGTTAAGTTCAAGGCTGAAAAGAAATGAAAGTACGATAGTTTTTCTTGGAAAGTATCTCTTAAGAAATCAAATTTCTCAGACAGACTACCTGTTACCGATTTGGCCAACAACAGTGAACAATCGAATCGATTTTGGCGGCGATATTTTAATGGGAGAAGTGGTGAGGGAAAGTTGAAGTACGAGTTTTAATGGAATTCAGGTGAAAAACGATTTAACTTGGTCTTCCGTGACACCCAGAAGAGATAATGGATCCGTTTTGTATCAGGTTTGACAATTGGATTACGGTGGCTTCTCTTGAAGCGCATCTTTTAGCTGTTTCAATCGTAAACTTGAGTTTCAGATAACTCTATTTAAAAACGATGTAAACACCGAGGATTCCTACAAATCGGTGACTCTTTCTCCCGTTTATTCGGTGCCGAATTCTCTGCTCGATCGCTGGGAGAGCACACAAAATTTGAGGCAAATGTGCAAGGTAAAAATAAAGCTACTATGGTTCATAATCTAGAAAGGATGACTGCAAATGTTTGCAATTTAAATCCCTGTAAGTCAAAGCCTTTTTTTCTTACTACAGAATTGTTTTAAAGACAATTTTCTGGGCAACAGGTGGCATGAAAAGTTCTGTCACCTTTTAAAAGATCACTTTTACAATGTTTTATGAACTTTCTAAGACTTAAAACCTACAAAATGTATTTTTCAAGTATTTTTACATTAGAAAATTGTTTTATTTCTTCAATTTTACTCATTTAGAAACTTTTTATGACAAGATTTGAGTTTTTCTATCGTAAAAATACAAAAATCGAATTTTTGTAGGTTTTAAATCTTAGATTGTTCATAAAAGTTCATAAAAGATTGTAAAAGTGATCTTTTAAGAGGCGATAGAACTTTTCAAGTACTCTTTAGACAGTCAAAGACATGACTAGGTCAGAAGTACTTCACTTATAGACAAAAACTAGATCTGGCTGAGAAATTTCAGTCATCATTATCTTAGTTGATTAGAAAACTTTAGGCTTAGAACCAGTCTCTTGATGCTCACGTTAGTGTAGTGAAAAAGGTTCCCACTTGATTTCAGCAATGAACGCATGGACCTCGAAAAGCATCTCGAAGAGTGGGCTGATCGCTCCGACGAAACCCCCAACACAGCCACTTGACACAAGAATTTTCACCACTTTGCAGGTGAATGGGGGCAAAGAAAAAGCTTGCCAAGAACTATTTTAAAGTGGTTTCTTTTCTAGAAAATGGTCGATGGATCTCGGGCAATCATTTCTTTCTTTTGGAGTGAGCCGAAAGAATGGAACGGCTCTCCGTTCAGATATTTTCTCAATTGCACAAAAATCGACGATGGTGAGGGAGTGGTTTCGCTCGAGTTACCATCAACCACAAAATATTACTCGTTTCCAGTAAAAAGTGGAAAGGTTTTGGAGAATGATTTGCTAATGTATCGCAAAAAATTTTTTAGGTTTCATGTGCAGTTGCGGCAGCGAATGAGCCGACGAATATCGGCGAATTCTCGGCTCCATTAACGATCGATAGCAGTGATCAAAAGGTAAATGGAGTGCCAGTGAAGCCTCTTCGTAAGCCTACGTGTCCCTTTCTCTTTCTACCGTAATCTTGTCTCTATTTTTATCACAATCTATCACTTACCGACTCGGTAAATCTGATTTGAAATTCCGTCAAAATCGGGGGACAAATTTTCACTCAATCCAGAGTAGAGTTCGGCAAACAAAACCAAAACCAAAACCAAAACCAAAGCCAAAACCAAAACACCAAAACAAACCAAAACTCAATTTGCATATAAATTAACATGTAAATTTAAAATTGTAAAATGCAAATTTGCCTTTCACTTTTTCTCACTCCACAAAATCTCGCGGCCAAAAAAAGGGCCAAAACACGACCTCGAAATTTCGAAACAAAAAATAGCCTATGGGATAGATTTTTGGATGCTGATTTCAAATCTGCAAACAGATTTTCGCTAGCTCCTCCCAGTCGCGAGATATTGGCGAGTTTTGGTTAGTTTTGGTTTTGGTTTTGGTTTTGGTTTGTTTTGGTTTTGATTTTGTTATGGTTTTGGTTTTGGTGGTTTTGGTTTTGGTTAAGTTTTGTTTTCCGAAGCCTAATCCAAAGTCAATCCAGAGTCAGAAACAGTTTTTCGTTTCAAAAAAAAACGCTTTTTGATTTAGCCACTTGTCCGTTTATTTGCTATTGATTCATTGAATGATCTCATCGTTATTCCAAATATCACTGATGGATATTTATCAAGGAAAAAAAGAGTTGTGAAAAGGGAAAAACGAGAGGAAAAAGCACCAACGGTGAGTGAAAATTTGATTACTTTTACTAAAGGATTTATCGCTTTCTTTTGCAAAGATATTAGAATTTCGGCAGTACAGCTTGCAGCTTCTACTTTACCAATATAATGCACTGTGGATTGTTGAGATTGCGGTCTTGACAGGTTTAGAGCAGAAAAGACACTGCAGCTCTAAACCTGTCGAGACAACAATCTTCAAAAATTGACAAATTTTAGCAACTGCATTTGCGCGTTTCTTTTTCAGCTTCAATACCAAGCGATGGCTTTCATCGGAAATGATCTGTACGCGGTGGGAATCGAAACGGACACCGTACATCCGACGTTGATACAATTGGACACAAATAATATATCGAATGTGCAGCACAAGGTTGGTGAAAGTTGGAGTAGATCAGTAAGACAGTACACCAGAGTACTCTTGACTACTCATTTTAATCAAAAAAGCCGGAAAATCAGCGGGGCAAAAATAGAACACCGAATGACACTACAGGGAGTCAAACCCGAGCCGTGTGGGCTGTAGAAAAGCCTCCTCCCAACTGAACCACGACGACCATGGACGGCTAGCGAACGGCTAGCGGCGAGTTTTTCTAGCTGTTTTTTTCTGGCGTGATAGAAGGTCGTCGTGGTGCAGTCGGGAGTGGCCTTTTCTTCAGCTCACACAATCCGGGTTCGACTCCCCGTAATGCCATTTGACATTTTGTTTTAGATTAGAATTCAATTTTTACATTCCTAGATTAGAAATTAAAGCCATGGGAAACCATGGGAACAATGAGATCTAAGCCTTAATCTTTCAAAGCAATATCGAGACTAGTTTTCAGGTTTCCTTGACCGACGAGTTGCCACCAATCGTAGCGATGGCTTCGGATTGGGTCGGATATCGGCTATTGCTATTGATGACAAAAAGTCTATATCAGGTAGGTAATAAAGCTCGTAGAACCACGTGGTATTCTATTTTCCGACTCAGCCACCGTATACCCAAAGTTGTAAATGGTGTTTTCCAATGATTTCCAATGATTTTTAGCATGGTTATTGTAAATATAGCTTAATTCTTACAATATTTCCTCAAAAAAAAGCAGTAACTCTCGTTTTCTCAGGTAGCTTTGGACCCATTCGCCACATCGAACATCCTCGCGCCGAAGAAATTGGCCGATTTGACGCTGGATGGACTCGGCGACCCGAAACAGCTCACATTTGATCCATTTACAAAGTGATTACTTTGGAATTAGCAATTTATAAAAAAAACTCTAGTACGGCTTTCATTTTAACACGAAACGGATCAATCTTTTCTTATGATTTTACGAAAGGAGTCGAGATGAATTTAGCCAATCGGATAAGATGTTTGAATACGGAGAGAGTCACGTGGATGACAACAGGTCAGTGAAAAGGGGAACAGGGGGTCAGAACAGGGGACTAGAGCTTCAAAAAGAATCAAAAAGATAAACTCTAGAAATTGAATTGCTTGTTTTATGGGAGGCTTTGATACCGAATGATACAAAAAAAGAGCTTGATTGGGGTCATTTTTTCGGAGAAAATCACGAGATAAGCAGATCGCGCTTTCTCTCAGCTTTGCTGCTTGTTTCAGTGCTAAAATTCTTTCAAAAGATTTCGAATTTCTAGCAGAAATCACAGCAAAATTTAAGGCAAAAGATTGTGCGAAAAATTTGAGCATAACGATTGGAGCCATTCATATTGACCGCAAACCGTAAAATCAAAACAAAACTTTCAAATTTTTCATCTAGAGTTCACCTGGAATCGAGCCGCTTCCCCGAAAATCTTTGCTTTAACGCTACATGGGCTTTTGGAGGTGAGAGAAGTTGATTTTTCTAAAGAAAATCTTTAGCTTGACCTCGATGGAACTTGTGGAGAAATGAAAACGATTGATTGGAAGAAATTTGGAGGTAAAAAAAGAAATTTTTGATTGAAAAAATCTTCCAGATCGTTCCCCCAAATCAATGTTGTCGTTCTCGATCGCCGACAAGCTTTTGATATTCGTGGCTGTTGGGGAAATGTTGGTGTATCGACCGGATGGAACAGTGCAGACGATTGAGATAAAGAACCATCCGGTGAAGCAGATTTTGGCCGCGAGCCAGAGCAGTCAACCGTATCCTGGTGCGTTTCTTGACGGTATATGATCTACTATATATAAAAGGGAAGTGTCTGTCCGTCCGTCTGTTTGTCTCGACTCCCTGTGGGCCGATTTACATGATTTTTTGGTTGTTAGGCTTAGAATTCTATGTATTGGGTTGGTGGAAAAGTCCTTTCGGATTTTTTGGGAGAGTACCTTAAATTTGTCCAATTTTGACGTTTTATAGCTCATCCTAAAGCTGAATTCAAGACGGATCGATTGGTAAAAACCGTTTTGAGATATCTCTTTTCTAAAAGTTTTTACAGCTATTTTCGTAAAGGGCAGCAGAGCCAAAAAATGGCTGTTTTCACGTTTCGTTAGTTTTTCGTGCAGAAACCTAGGCTAAAAACATGTGTTTCGTGATCAGCGTCAAAAATAACCCCTAGACACAAATTTTCAGAATCTTAGCAAAAAATTTTTGAAAAATATTGTCACCGGTGGAAGTCGAACCAGCGACCCTCAGATCAATAGCCTTTTCGCTTTTCGCGATTTTCCTTCGTTTTTCCCCTTTTTTTTGTTGTAAAAATTTATAAATTGGACGGCTCAACACCAAGAAATTTGAGCTCAAAGTTAGATTGGCAATGGCAATGGGGGCGGGGCAATGGACCTTTTATACACTCCCGCCCCTTTCTCGATCGTTCTTTTGTTATTCCCATGGTTTTAATTTTATCTACAAACTTGAATGTCAAAAGCCTCTAAAATATTATTATAAATGTTACTTCATTTAATTTAAATCTGAATTTTGCACTCATTAGAAAGCCGTAGTGTTCTAGGTGTTCAACACTTACGCGGACTACTTTTTAGAAAACCTTTTATACGAAAAAAACTTTCTATAGAAAGTTGAATGTGTTATATCCTATTCGAAAGCTCTAATTCTCGGCACCATTAATCTATTAACGATTTTTCGTTCAAGGTTAATTCTTAGCTTTTGAGGCACTTCGGACTTAAAGAGCGTCCGCACCAAGTATCCCGAGACGAGCTGTCATTTTTCGTGGTCTTCTAGGTTAAAATTCTTATGTGAAAAACTGAAAACATGCTTAAATTTGTATGAATTTTCTCAAGATAATTCAAAATGACATTTAAAAAGTGTTTAAATTGATCGGAAAAAACGCAAATTTCTTTACTCGTCAAAAGGTGGGATTTGCAGTCAGTTTTGAGCTTTTTTAAACAATGAATTTGCATCTATTTAATTGGGATTTTGTTTTGTTTTAAAGCAAACGGTTTTCCCATTGAAAACAAGCTTTTTAAAACATTCCTTATATATAAAAAAACACGAAAAATTGTTGTATGTCTTGGGGTATTTGATTGATTTCTAAAAGGTTAAACAAAACTGAATCTGATCAAATAGATATCAAATATCAAATAGAAAATTTCATTGTCTTTTTCAGATCGTGATTGTTTCGTTTTACCACCGTCTTCACAAATCTCATTCTCGGTGACAAACGAGGGGAAAACGGGAGCAAATGTGCGCATCGATCGTCCGCCGACTGTGCCCATTTGTGTGAATGTCTCGTTGCCGACAACTATTTATGATGTGAGATCAAATGAGTTTCCGAAACATTACTGTTTACAGATCTATTTCAATCGAACCGACAAATCCCGTGTGAAGCATATCGAGAGTTATTCCGATACGCATCTCCTCGAGAATGGATCTTTGGATCAAGAGACCGAGTAAGCGAGTGAAATTCGCATTTTAAAGCGGAATTATGCTCAAGGGTTTCTCACGAGTGCAAAATTAAGATTTAAATTAAATGAAGTAACATTTATAATCATATTTTAGAGGATTTTGGCAGTTTGTAGATAAAATTAGAACTGTTGGACTAACGAAGAAACGATCGAGAAAGGGGCGGAAAGTGTATAAAAGGCTCATTGCCTCGCCCATTTGGCCATTAGCAATCTAACTTTGAGCTCAAATTCCTTGGTATTAAGGTGTCCAATTTATAAATTTTTTGTATCATTAGATTTGTCAAGTCTTTCTCTATCGATTAGTACAAAAACTACTGAAATTGGACAGCCCAGCAACAAGGTGTTTGAGCTCAAAGTTGAATTGCCAATAGCAAAAAGGCGGGCGATGTGCCTTTTATACACTCCCGCCCATTTTCCTATGGCAATCCAGCTTTAAGCTCAATTATTCTGGTGTTGGGCTGCCCAATTTCAATATTTTTTGTATCAATCGATAGAGAAAGACTTGACGAATCTAATGATACCAAGAATGTTTAAATTGAAAGGCCGAACACTAAGAAGTTTGAGCTCAAAGTTAGATTGTCAATGGGAACAGAGGCGGGGCGCGTATAAAAGGCCCATTGCCCTACCGATTTTCCCATTGGCAACCCAACTTTAAGCTCAAATTTCTTGGTGTTCGGCGGTTCAATTTATAAATTCGATCGAAGCATGTTAGTCTAGTGGTTATCATGTTTGGTTACCGTTTAGAAAGCCAAGAGTTCGATCTCGAGTTTCACCATTTTCAGCTACAATGTCCGCATCTCTTGGCACAATCGTTGGTCATCCGATTCATCAATTTCCGAGGCGAAACTTTTCCGAACGGGTTTCGGATATCCGACTGCGCCCAGGAATCCAATGGTTTTCAATTTTTTGTAGATTACAACAAACGTTAGCCCGCCTAGCGTTTATAGGTGCATAAAGTACCTTTATAACTCTATGCAGGTCAAGATTTTGATGTTTTTGATGAGAATCGCTGGATTTAGACCCTTAGCAATTATCCAGGAAAAATTTAACAACCGTCAATCGATTCTCCGTATCGATTTAGGTACAATCTATTAGCTAAAAATCCGATTTAAAGCTTGTGGAGCGAGCTAGAGAAGCTCAAAGTTGGGCAGAGGCGCAAAAAACCTCATGCCAACCCAACTTTAAGCTCCTTTAGCTCACTCCAGAAGCTTTAAATCAATTTTTTTAGCTAATATCCTATGTATTGGGTTGGGGAGAATGAGTCGGCGCCAAACTTTAAAGGGACTTTTTGCACACATAAAGCCTTCTTTAAACATACGTTTGGTTTCATCAAAAGGATCCACTATTTCTCTACAAAATCACTTTTGAGAGATTCCACAAAGCTTTTCTTTCGTGGAGTTTATGAACTTCCAAACGCAGCTGGTTAAAATGGCAAAGAGTCCGACTCATCATTTGAACAGTTTCTTTCACATAAACCTTCTTTGGTGTTTATATAAAAAAGATAGAGCACATTCAATTACTTAAGTTGCCAAATTTGCAGGAAGATCCCACCAATGGTTTTTTCTAGATCACAGTTTGTAGTTTTTGTGAAAAAATGGCTTTTTCTTGAGCGGAGGCGCTGTTTGAATTTTCTTTTAAATGTCATTTTTTAGAGAATTATTAGGTTGGTGCAAAAGAAATTTCGGTCGATATAAAATGTTCTTATTTTTTTAATCTGAAGAGCTTATTTGATGTTCTTTTGTGCATTTGTACTCTTGGATATTTACTTTATTTTCGCATTTTTTCAAAGTCAGAGCTTTCACTTTTTAATTGATTTTTGCTTTAGAACATGGTGGATCAAAAGTATGTTCTGCGCACGTGTCTTCTCTATGACTTTAAAATGGGCAAAAACGCTGCTGATTCACATCGTGATCTCTGTTCTGCCTTTGGAGAACAGGTTATCACCGAAAGATTATGCCAGCTCTGGTTTGCCCAATTCCGAGATGGTAATGAATCCCTTGAAGACGAATCGCATGGACATCGTGCCACAGCCATCGACAACAATGAATTCGAACAATTGATCCAATGCAAACAACACGAGAACTTGCCAAACATCTCAATGTGATCATTCAACAATTGTACGCCATTTGGAAATAATTGGAAAGACAAATCGTAATGGACAATGGGTTCCACATCAATTGAGTGTTGAGAATCTGGGAGCACGCGTTTCGATCAGCCATATCTTGCTCCATAAGTCGAAAAGAAGCCATTTTTTTTGAGAATATCTTGACGATGGATGAGAAGTGGATTCACTTTGATAATACTTCTCGAAAAAGACAATGGCTGAGCAAAGGTCAAGCGCCAATTCCAACTCCAAAGCCGGATTATCATGGGCGCAAAGTGATGTTGTCTTGCTGGTGGAATATCAATGGACTTGTTCATTTTGAATTATTAGAGCCCGGAAAAACAGTCGATTCATCTTATTTTATTCAACAACTCAAGAAGGTTGACGAAATTTTGCGTGAAAAAGGCCTAAATCCCTCAACTATCAACTTTCTCCGTGATAATGCTCCAGCTCACACGGCAAAAACCTCTTGTAAGGAACTAGAGAAGCTAGGATGGAAGGTCTTACCACATGCGCCGTATAGTCCAGACTTAGCACCCTCCGATTTTCACCTTTTCAGATCGATGCAACATTCCCTTGAGAATTGCCAGTTTAAGAATGCAAAAGAAGTCGAAAATTGGGTGACCAACTACTTTGCATCACAGAATCAAGCGTTCTTTGAGAAGGGGATCCGCAATCTGAAGCAACGTTGGAGGGATGTCATAGATAATAATGGTGCTTATTGTTTTAAATAAATTGTTATCTAAAAAAATTTTGGATGACTTTAATGTTTGTAAAAAAACGAAATTTCATTTGCACCAACCTAGTAGTTAACCATTCTACTGATATCAAACGCATATTATTTGACGAAGTCGAATAGAAGTTTTAGACATTTTTTTGATTTTCGGCGCCGACTCATTCTCCCCAACCCAATAAAATGACACGGAGAATCGATTGGCGGTTGTTAAAAGTTTCCTGGATAATTGCTAAGGGTCTAAATCCAGTGATTCTCTCAAAAAAACCGAAATCCTGACTACGGGCCTGACTAAGAAAAAAATCGAAAATAGAAGAAAGGCTAACAAAATCGAAAACTTTCTTGTTAAATACTTTTCTTAGGCGATTTCCGTTTCCCCAGACACAATTCTCTTATATTGGGACATGCCAGCAACACTGAATGCGCCGATTGGTGAGATAAAGTACAAATTGATGCAACAACAATCCCAACTCCCGCAACAACCGATCGCCGTTCAGCCATTCATCCCCGGACAAACGTCGCCGAATGTCTATTCGACATCGACAACCGGTAAATTAAGGTAAAATCTAAATCTCTTTCCTTTTTCAGATATCGTTGGCTGTTTCGAGAATCCATGTCGTGTTCGAATCTCGAATCTCCGTGCCTCAACCGATTACAAATTTTGGGTAACCGCCGTTCACGATTCCCGACTAAATGCAATAAATCAAGATGCAGCTGCTATTTCCACTGAAGCATCTACAAAGACAAAGGTCAGCAGAGCCAATTCAACGCTAAGTAATTCAACCGTTTTGTTTCTAATGCAAGCTATGCACTGAAAAAAATAAAACCTTGTAAACTGGTAACTTTTGTGCTATGGCCTTTCTGGCAGATTGATTCTTGTGCCTAACAAGGGAATCTCTTAAACTTATCCACGAATCCAAGAGTGATTTAAGTATCATTCGATTGGGGAAAAAAATCTAGCTATCCAATCTAGCTATCCAATCTAGCTATCCAATCTAGACTTGCTTTTGGGGCTTTAGCAAGGAAATATTCGAGGCTAAATTTAGTGAATTTTGAAAGCTTTTCAAGAGTTTTTGGCATATTTTTAGGAAAAATTATTACCTCTTTTTATACCCTCTCAAAAAGTGAGCGAAACTTTTTTTGGGTGCAATCGATTCCCGTGCTTGCAACATTTCTTTCGCTTTTTAAAAATTCGATTTCATGATGCATTTATAATCATTTTTTAAACAAAAACATTACAGTAATCAAAAAAATTCTTGACCTATTGCCTCACCAAATGATTAAAAGCAAAAAGAAATTTTTTTTGACGAAAAATCACCTTACACCTTAAGCCTTAGAAAATCCATAAGCTTTATCGTATTGACAATCAGATCGACAAATGAAAAGGTCGAATTTCCAGGACATAGCCGGCACTCTACGGCCAGACAATGTCACCGGCTCGTCGTTGCTTCTTCGATGGAATTCCCTGCAACCCGAAGAACAACCGAAAACCGTTTCCATTCAATATAAAGAGGTATTCAAGGAAGTTTTCACAAGGGAATAACTGCAATCAGAAGTTTGGAATCACTTCGAGTCTTGATGAGCTTATAGAATCGACCACGGAGATCACGAATCCGTAAAAATTTTTGCTAAAGATCCTGCAAACGCGAGAAATATTGGCTTTAAAGTTTTAGGGCTGCTTAGGCTTGTTTAGGAAGATGTAAGAATTACGATTGTGGACTTCAAATTGCGCTTTCTCTTGTCATCTATTTCCTAAAAGCCCTCGTTCTACCGTGATCTCATCTCTATTCTGATCAAAATCTATTCACTTTTAGGCTCTAATTCTGTCTAATTCACCATCAAAAGAGCCAAAAAGTGAATTGTGAAAGATGATTTGCTAAAAAAATAGAGACAAGATTACGGTCGAAAGGGGAAAGGGGGCACGGCTTAGAGAAACGGATTAACCGGTAATGGCTGAAAGTAAATTTGTGGTACAGTCGACTCTCAATATACTCTCTCTGTCGGGAACCGCGAAATGGAGTCGTTAAATCGAGCCTCGTTATATAGAAGTCAGTAAGAGTCAGACCGTAAGTATGCGTCGTTGTATTGAACATCATTATATAGAAGGCAGTAAGACTGGGACCGTAAGTATGAGTCATTGTATTGAACATCGTTATGTAGAAGGCAGTAAGAGTCGGATCGTATGTATGAGTCATTGTATCGAACAAGTCTTTATATTGAGAGTCGACTGTATAATCCAAAAGAGTTAGCTTGCAATCAAAATTTGGGGTATTTTAGCATTGAAAGTTTAAAGCTGACAAGTCAATTTTTCAGTCGGGCGGTTATGGAGAGTGGAAAACACCAAAAAATGCGACATTTGAGCCAAAAGATATTCACTCATCAATCGGGATTTTGATTACAAATCTTCTCTCAGCCACTTCATATGATTACCGATTTGTGGCAGTTTATAAAGGTTTATAAATGATTTTTGATAAATTTTAACACATTTTAGGAGTAATCAAATTCGAGAGTGACACTTTCGCATTCACTGAAGAGTACTATCAAGGAATACAAATGGCACGGACGAAAGGTTTGGTGAAAGTTTTTGGGCAATTGAACTAAGCTGAAAGTTAGCCAAGAGTCCAATCGATAAGCGATAAGCTTAACGATCGATGAACGATAAGAAAAACGATAAGCTTTTAAGTTTTTGTTGAAATTGTTGGGTAATTGAATGAAACTTATCTATTAGGTTGGCAAAAAAGAAATGCGCGTTTTCGTTAAAAGTTTATTTTATTATAAAAACAAGATAACAATACATTAATCCAAAAGGTATTCGCCATCTGCATCAATGACTTGTCGCCAACGTTCACGCAGAGAATGGATGCCCTTCTTGAAGAACTCGACCGGCTGCGACTCGAAGAAGTTGGACACCGAAATTTGGACCTCGTCACGGTTCTTGAACTTTTCCTCGGCCAAGAAGTGGTGCATTGATCGGAACAGATGGTAGTCGGAAGGCGCCAAATCTGGGCTGTATGGCGGATGAGGCAAAACTTCCCAGCCCATTTCTTCAATTTTCTGCTGGGTGATTTTTGCGACATGCGGCCGAGCGTTGTCGTGGAGGAATTTTGTCGACGCCGTATCCACGCCTTGACGCCGCAGCGCCTGGTCCACGCGGTCAAATTGGCCTTGGTAGAGGTTCGCCGTAACTGTTTGACCCGAATCCAGAACCTCAAAGTACACCAGGCCTTTACTGTTCCACCAAAAACAAAGCATCACCTTTTTTCCGTGGATGTCCGGTTTTGGAGCTTCACCGGGGTCCAACCACTGCCGCTTTCTTGCTGTGTTGCCGTATTGGATCCACTTCTCATCCGACATAACAATGGAGTCGAAAAACCCACTGTTCTTGGCGCGGTGAGTGAGAATTCCGGCGATTGCGATGCGTGTCGCCTTGTTTGCCTCGGATAGCTTATGCGGTACCCATTTTCCGCATCTATTCGTCTTGCCCATGCCATGCAGATGATTCTCAATGGTGACATGAGTGCAGTCGAACTGTTCTGCCAGGTTTGGCGTGGATCCGACTCAATGGCTTCCTTCAATGCGTCGTGGTCGATAATTTGAGGTCGACTCCCGTGTTTTTGGTCTTCCAAGCTTTCGTCGCCGTCTGGAACCATCGTTTACACTGACTTTCGGATAGAGCATCTTCGTCAAACACTTGAGATAGAGCGCCATGAGCTTCAGCAGCCGATTTGCCTTGCTTAAATTCATACCACAAGCAGGCCCGCAAACTAAATTTTTGGTCCGACATTTTCTAAACACTCTTTCTTGCAAAAAAACAAAGTAAACATAGACAAATTATATATCAAACGATGCGCAAGAACACGCTCTTTCCAATAGAATAAACTATTTAAAAAATCTTTTACTGTGAATAAAATACAAATCAACAAACACGACGCTCATTTCTTTTTTGCCAACCTAATAGAATTTGGGTCTAACACTTTGACTCTTTTGATGAAAAATCCTTTCCAACACTTTGCACCTGTCGATGTGCCAGAAAGTGTGTGTTTAAAGTGTTCTTTTCAATATCTGTTTCAATATCTGTTTCAATATCTGTTTCAATATCTGTTTCAATATCTATTTCAATATCTATTTCAATATCTAATGGATTTAAGGTATAGCTAGTTTTTGATTCCAGCCGGCACTCCAACCGAACCCCAATCAGTCGCAATTCGTCAAAGTCCCGAGGGTGAATGGACGGTTGAATGGCAGCCACCGAATTCGGATGGAGGATCGATTATCACGAGTTATGCTTTAGAGGTTTGTTTTCGTTTTTATATCATTTCCTTGTTGGATTTCTTCGTTTTTACATCATTTAAATGTTAAATTATTATAAATTTTCTTTAAAAATATCTTTTACTATCTTCTTAAAAAGTTTTATTAGAAAACTTTGTTAGAAAACTGTGCTGGGGTTTCTATTTTGCTCGAGTTTTGACCAAAAAAGCAAAATCATATAAGAATTTGTGATATTATTGTGTAAATTAGAAATAGTATAGTGAAAAAACAAAAAGGAAAGAAGGTTGGCAAGTGGGATTTGAACTAACGGCAAAAAAACTCGATTAGTTTCGTTAAACGATCACACTATCCACACCACGGTTGCGGCTGAAAAAAGGGCGCATAAACTCGACTCAACAGTGTATACCAAAACTTTCGGCCTAAAAATTTTGCCTTCGCGAGCTACTCCGCCGATTTTGATTACAGATTCGGAATCGCCATTCGATTTTCTATCAATCGCCAAATTGGGCTCATTCACTAGCCGCTTTTTCCCCTTTACAGACCCCGAAAGGGAATCCTTCTATACCAGAACAATTTGCCGGATGGCGATCGATTACGCATGCACACAAAGAACACCTCGGCAGTTGTTTTTGATATAAGCTTGATTTTTGATTCTCTACAACTTTTCCATTGACACCAAAATGGATTTCTTTTGAAGAAAGTGCTCAAACTGTGACATATGACAAAAGCCAGCAGTTTTCGATTCACCAACCCATTAAATTCGGGATAAAATATCTTAAATAATAATTGCCCCTTCGGTTCCTCTCTCACGCATTGCACACTAATATTATCTCTAACGCTTTCAAAACAGTTTTATGGATCTTTAAAGCCCAGTTGCTTATACTGGATACCGTATTTTCTCTAATAGTGGTGCACCCTGGCGAGCCGAGTTGGTGACGATTTTACGGTTTCCAAGCTTCTACAGAAGCTCAACATTCAAATCCCCCAAAAGATCTCATCGTCAGCTACATTTTCCGATCACACATCGATAGGTTCGATAAGCGGTTCTCAAGATTTCGAGCAATTATATTTAGGCGACGCTCAGGGTGCACTACTATTAGAGAAAATACGGTAACAGTAAAAACCCTGGATAACAGCGAAAAGCTGATTAAACTCTAACCTGTTAAGCGTTTTGCAAAAAAAGTTTTTAATCTTTTAATTCTTTTTTTATAATATAATTAAATAATTTAGATTTTTTCAAAAAAGAAGAAGAAATTTTAAAGTTTATTTTAAATTTTATTTGAAACTAAATTTCCAGATGCGCCCGAATCACACAGCTGAATGGGAGATCGCCGAGAGGGGATTGGATGGACGGGTTTTTTGGTGAGAAAAGAAATTCTTCAAGAGATTCTTCAAGAGAATTGTTTATATAACGATTTTTAAAAGAAATTCTTATCCAAACAATTTCTGGTGGCATCCAACGAAAACCGAATGGGCACCACACTGGCAATTCCGGGTGAGAGCCGCGAATCAAGAGGGATTTGGACCGTACAAAGAGACACCGATTCGACCGGGTTTGTGAGCGATTTCGATCACTTTTTATTATATATATATTGGGTTGGGGAGAATGAGTCGGCGCCGAAAATCAAAAAAATGTCTAAAACTTCTATTCGACTTCGTCAAATAATATGCGTTTGATATCAGTAGAATGGTTAACTAATTCTCTACAAAATGACATTTAAAAGAAAATTCAAACAGCGCCTCCGGTCAAGAAAAAGCCATTTTTCCACAAAAACTACAAACTGTCATCTAGAAAAAACCATTGGTGGGATCTTCCTGCAAATTTGGCAACTTAAGTAATTCAATGTGCTCTATCTTTTTTATATAAACACCAAAGAAGGTTTATGTGAAAGAAACTGTTCAAATGATGAGTCGGACTCTTTGCCATTTTAACCAGCTGCGTTTGGAAGTTCATAAACTCCACGAAAGAAAAGCTTTGTGGAATCTCTCAAAAGTGATTTTGTAGAGAAATAGTGGATCCTTTTGATGAAACCAAACGTATGTTTAAAGAAGGCTTTATGTGTGCAAAAAGTCCCTTTAAAGTTTGGCGCCGACTCATTCTCCCCAACCCAATACATAGGATATTAGCTAAAAAAATTGATTTAAAGCTTCTGGAGTGAGCTAAAGGAGCTTAAAGTTGGGTTGGCATGAGGTTTTTTGCGCCTCTGCCCAACTTTGAGCTTCTCTAGCTCGCTCCACAAGCTTTAAATCGGATTTTTAGCTAATAGATTGTACCTAAATCGATACGGAGAATCGATTGACGGTTGTTAAAATTTTCCTGGATAATTGCTAAGAACAAATACTAGGTTGGTCAAATGACATTTCGTTTTTTTACAAACATTAAAGTCATCCAAAATTTTTTTTGATAACAATTTATTTAAAACAATAAGCACCATATTATCTATGACTCCCTCCAACGTTGCTACAGATTGCGGATCCCCTTCTCAAAGAACGCTTGATTCTGTGATGCAAAGTAGTTGGTCACCCAATTTTCGACTTCTTTTGCATTCTTAAACTGGCAATTCTCAAGGGAATGTTGCATCGATCTGAAAAGGTGAAAATCGGAGGGTGCTAAGTCTGGACTATACGGCGCATGTGGTAAGACCTTCCATCCTAGCTTCTCTAGTTCCTTCAAGAGGTTTTGCCGTGTGAGCTGGAGCATTATCACGGAGAAAGTTGATAGTTGAGGGATTTAGGCCTTTTTGCACCAAAATTTCGTCAACCTTCTTGAGTTGTTGAATAAAATAAGATAATCGACTGTTTTCCGGGCTCTAATAATTCAAAATGAACAAGTCCATTGATATTCCACCAGCAAGACAACATCACTTTGCGCCCATGATAATCCGGCTTTGGGTTGGAATTGGCGCTTGACCTTTGCTCAGCCATTGTCTTTTTCGAGAAGTATTATCAAAGTGAATCCACTTCCTCCATCGTCAAGATATTCTCAAAAAAAATGGCTTCTTTTCGACTTCTGGAGCAAGATATGGCTGATCGGAACGCGTGCCCCAGATTCTCAACACTCAATTGATGTGGAACCCATTGTCCATTACGTTTGTCTTTCCAATTATTTCCAAATGGCGTACAATTGTTGAATTGGAGTGTTTGGCAAGTTCTCGTGTTGTTTGCATTGTCAGCTTCAATCATTGTTGTGGATGGCTGTGGCACGATGTCCATGCGATTCGTCTTCAAGGGTTCATTACCATCTCGGAATTGGGCAAACCAGAGCTGGCATGATCTTTCGGTGATAACCTGTTCTCCAAAGGCGGAACAGAGATCACGATGTGAATCAGCAGCGTTTTTGCCCATTTTGAAGTCATAGAGAAGACACGTGCGCAGAACATACTTTTGATCCACCATGATCTAAAGCAAAAATCAATTAAAAAGTGAAAGCTCTGACTTTGAAAAAATGCGAAAATAAAGTAAATATCCAAGAGTACAAATGCACAAAAGAACATCAAATAAGCTCTTCAGATTAAAAAAATAAGAACATTTTATATCGACCGAAATTTCTTTTGCACCAACCTAATAGTTTAAATGCAAAATCCAATTTTTTGAACAAAACACATGTATTCAGATTGGACAAACATTGGATTTTGCATTTAAACTATTTGTTCTCAAGATCGGACATCCGATTCCGAGAAGAATGATCATTCTCCTCTGAAACGGACGTCCGACTCAGAATCTGACGTCCATCTCTGAATCGGAAGTCCGTTTCAGAGGAGAATGAATCTCCTCAGATTCGGACGTCCGGATCGGAGATGGACGTCTCCTCAGATTCGGACGTAACATATATATTTAATTATAATCCTATAAAAATGTCTGGATTACGGTAGTGACGGGTTTGAATTTTTTTTAGATGCTAATTTTCTAGAAAATGCTGTAAGCTTACCCGAAAGCTTTACTTCCTGATCGTCAGCTCTACATAACTTGACGCTATTGAACGCTAGCTATTGAAAATTTAATAAACGGAAGATGGCACTCTATTGTTTGGAGCGGTGCTTTGAGCATCATTTAGAAAACACTGACCGCTTTTAAACTACAAAAATGACGAACTGTCACATTATAAACGCTTCTAAATTGCTTCAAATCTACGGGATTGACATGATCTATAGCTCAAAAAAATAGAGAATCTCAAGAGCTTTCGAATGGATTAAAGTAAACCGAAAAATCTTAATCTAAAGAAATTTACAATGGTTTATAGCTTCGACTACGCGCGAGTACGGTCCGGTCGGCTACAAATCATTGTAACTTTCTATAAAATTAAGATTTTTCGGTTTACTTTAATTGAAGCAATTTAGAAGCGTTTGTAGTTTACTTTTGTAGTTTATAGTAGTGTTCGGCAAACAAAACCAAAACCAAAACAGACCAAAACCAAAACCAAAACCAAAACACCAAAACAAACCAAAACTCAATTTACATATAAATTAACATGTAAATTTAAAATTGTAAAATGCAAATTTGCCTTCCACTTTTTCTCACTCCCCAAAATCTCGCGGCCGAAAAAAGAACCAAAACACGACCTCGAAATTTCGAAACAAAAAATAGCCTATGGGATAGATTTTTGGACGCTCATTTCAAATCTGCAAACAGATTTTCGCTAGCTCCTCCCAATCGCGAGATATTGGCGAGTTTTGGTTAGTTTTGGTTTTGGTTTTGGTTTTGGTTTGTTTTGGTTTTGGTGGTTTTGGTTTTGGTTAAGTTTTGTTTTCCGAAGTCTAGTTTATAGTGCCCACATCTGTAGCAAAGTGAAGATTGTAACTTTTTTCGGGAGTTTTCAGAAGATCTTGAAGAAGAGAACCCATTCCCGTGGTTTCCCTTGATTTTGAGTGTTGTCTCGTTTTTTCTCCTCATCATGGTCATCGCTTTCTTTTTGATGGGTGAGTTGAAAAGTAAAGTTTAACTCACAATCAATAGAGTTTCAGGGTTTTATTTACAAATCTTATAGCCAATTGTTTTGTCTAACGGTTTTTTCATCGACTTTTTATCGATATAAAATCCGTATCACATCATCTGGGCCAACCCCTAACTACGTAGTTTCTTAATCCCCTTTAATCTTGATGAAAAGTTTTGTTCTTTTTATGATTTTTCATGTCAAAAAAAAGTATAAAAACCGATGATTTCTTCTTGATTGCCGACGCAACAATTTTAAAACTCAAAAAGATAGGTAAATGACCGTATCACATCATCTGGACCATTAGATTTTTCTGTCTTTGTTGCTTTTTTACTTAGTTTTCTTCTCTACCATTTTATTATTTAACTTTTTCAGGTAAATGACACCTGGTGAGTCGCTAACCGATTACCAAAAGGCCAAATTGATCTTCTACATAATCAAGGAGAGTTCAATCGAAAAAAGGCAACAAAGACAGAAAAATCTGATGGTCCAGATGATGTGATACGGTCTTTTAACTATCTTTTTGGTTTTAAAATTGTTGCGTCGGTAATCAAGAAGAAATCGTCGATTTTTATTGCAAAATCATAAAAAGAATGAAACTTTTCATCAAGATTAAAGGGGATTAAGAAACTACGTAGTTAGGGGTTGGCCCAGATGATGTGATACGGACTGTATTAGCCTAATCGCTTTCCGCTATTCTTTAGAACCTAGAAAAGAATAAACAACTGTATTTCTCATAGCAAATTCAAATCTCTCAAATCCAATATTGCAGCTCGACGCCGTCAAATTCGTCGCCGACAAAAACCTCGGGTTGACGATAAATCGATCACACTCGACTCGATCGGCCAATTGGATTCACATTTGGGGAAAGGAAAAGAAATGCCATCACAGATTGCGCACGAGATTCGGAGTACGACTTTTTATAATCCTTTACTTTTCACTCTGATCTTCTATTAGATCTCCAAACTCATGAAGGTTTTAAAAATCTTTTCGAAAAGATGCCCCAGATTTTACTTGACCAACAACTTCTAGACAACAACAACAACAAAGACGCAAGAACTTCTAATTTTTTAGATCTCACGCAAATCTCACGCGATCGCATCAAACTGATCCGCTCACTAGGCGAGGGTTTGTTCGGGAAAGTCTGGGAGGGACAAATTCTTTTGGATCCACAAAGGGACACTCATGTACAACACGTGGCAATAAAGGCAAGTGCTTATTCTGTTATGATTTTATATTAAAGTCCTCCATGTTATTTGTGCATTTGAATTTATTCCAAGCATCACATTTTGGCAAATCTTTGGCAATCTTTCCCTTTAGATGCTCCGCGAAAAGCCCGACGAGATGACACGAATAAAATTCCTCAAAGAGGCCATTCTGATGAAGTGAGTGAAAGAATCGATCAATGAACGGCGTCATAGAATAGTTTGCTCCGAAAAAATCTAACATTTTGCCCATGATAGCTGTTTTTAAGTTAACTTTTGAACTTTTCAATTCAAAAGTAAAAGAAATAAAGTCCTTGATGTAAAGTAAAAGAATTTTCTCAGCAATTTCGACCATCCAAACATCGTCAAATTGTTGGGTGTCTCGTTCTCTCATGAGCCTCATTATCTTCTGCTTGAGTTGATGAATGGCGGGAATTTGTTAGCGTTTTTGAGGGATTGGTGAGTTCAAAGAGTCTAAAGGACTTCAGATTTTGATCAGTTCAAATCAGAATTCAGGTTTT